GTCACCATTCTTTCACTGTTGAATTTAAATAAACCAAACTTATCCCTGGAGCATCTATACATCGTTTATTATAAACCCCAATGGGATTATATAATTAATATTCTTGTCGTTTTTGTTTTAAATTGTTGTTCTTAATATCGTTACTGTTAATTTATCATTGAAATTAAAATAAAATGAAAATATCTTAGAGGATCTATTCTCTTGTTTTTTTTCTTCAGTGCTGCTAATAACACCAAACTGAATAACCTTTTTGAACAAATAATAAGGAAAATTTATACTATATAAACGGATTAGACAATGAAAGGTACTTTATGTAGTGCTTATACGCTCTGTTGTAAATAGGTTATCTGTATCTAACTGGACTTCCAACTCCGCAAAACTTTGAAAAGTACTAGGTATAATTTATTTCACTGATTTAAATTTTTAATTTTAAGTTTTTATAGTTAAATTTTTTTTTAAAAATATCACATTTAATTTTTTTCTGTTACAATTAAAAACTTTAAAAAAATATTAAATCTTAACTTAAATTAAAAATTTAAATCTACAAAACGAACGAACGATGTTATAATATGTATTACAGGATTAAGACAAAATGCCCCGCTTTATTACAAAGAAAACAAACACAAGTTGTTCTTATCATGTGGGGGCATATTTATTAACAAGCCACGTAAAGTCCTCTCAAAATCAAAAGTGGCCTACGTGGCCGTTATTTGAGGTCTCATATATGTTTTTTTTCAACCGTAAAGGAGCAAAAGAGGAAAATAAAAATACATATATAGACATTTTTTTATTGTGCAATATAAGGGTGTTTAGTATGAGATTTATGTCATAATTTATGATTTATTATAATATTTTTTTTTATAAAAATCATATATAAATTAAAAATGATTATGAATCCACGTCTAGTGGCAAATTTTGTACACATGGTACAGCACAATGGTTACACAATATGTGTGTTTCGGCAAAGTTGCAATTGCGGACTTGGGACAAAAAAAAAAAAGAAAAAAAAAGGTAAGTTAAAATGGGAGATGATAATTGCCATTTTATCTCCTAAACCATTAGAAACAAGATACAACTACAACTGATCTATTTGACAATAACAACGGGTAACTGAAATCGAACTAGTCAATTGTAGTAACACTGTGTGACGTTTTTTTCTTTTTTTTATAGATATTAAACGATAGTCGAAAGAGATCTTATTAACTGTTGTAATTTTTTATTGTAAAATCTCATCTTGAGTTTTGAGAAAAACTGTATCAGATTAATTTATCAATTGTCCAATTCTTATAAATTGCAATGAGGGATGATATAAACAATAATATATTACGGCCTCGTTAATTTCACCGATTCGAGTTTTTAATTTTAAATTTTTACAGTAAAAAATTCTAAAAAAATGTCACATTTAATTTTTTCTATTACAGTAAAAAGCTCTCTGAAAATGTCATATCTAAACTTAAATTAAAAATTTAAATTTGCAAAATAAACGAGACTTACGTTAAAATACACGATGTTAAACAATAATAAAAAAGTTACAATTCGAGTATGTTAATATTTTTTTTTATTTTAATAATTGGAATGTGTCTCTTTATTTAGATCAGGTGGTCAGAGTTTTCAAAGGAATGGGCGTGCCAGAGACTTTGAAAACCATTATACGGATGGGACATAACTAAAGAAGATTGTGACATTGGTATTATGAATCATGAATAATTGCTGACAAGTGACAATCCTTAATGGCTTGTGCACTTTGCTGTGTCTTTCTAGTTGCCCCCTGCGCAAAGCAGGGTTCGTACACACAAGGCAAGGGATTTTACCAGAACATGCCTAAGGAAATACTCAAGACTAAGGCTCCGTTCATTTCGCTGATTCGAGTTTAGAATTTGAGTTTTTTTACAGTAAAAAGCTCTCATAAATAATCATATCTAACTTTTTTGTTACAGTAAAAAGCTTTCACATAAAGTCACATCTCAACTCGAATTAAAAACTCGAATCAACGAACTAAACGGTCCCTAAAAAAATATAAAGTTAATTTCAAACTCATTTTAAAATAATTTTATTTTTTATATGAAAATAAAAATAATAATATTTTTAATTTTAGATAAAAATTATTTTTAAAAATACATTTAGTAGTTTTATTAAGAGAATATTTTTAATATAAAAAAATATTTAATGTCTCTATTTTTTTCTCTCTCAAGAGAGGAAAAAACGGAGACAAAAAATAAAAAAATAATTAAAAGTTATTTTTCATTTCTCTTTTATTTTACACTAAATTAAAAAATTATTTTCATTTATATTTTTTATCTCTATTACGTCAAATACCGTTTCAAAAATATTTTTATTTTTTTTCTCAAAAAACATAAAAAATAAAAATGTGATCAATTCTAAACACGATCATAATATTACGTGTATCATTTGGTGCGTTCCACGTTTACTGACGCGCATTTTTGCGGTGGTTTTAAAGGCACACAAAACTCATGGCTGATTAAACAGGATTAAACATAGTTTACAGTGTTGGCAGTTCAAAAAGGAAAAGGTAATTATTCGGCGTATGCTCAATTACCCTCTAGAGTTTGGTGAAACTTTTATGAACTTCATGATGGTAGGGGGAAGAATCTTTATCATCAAGGCTCTCCGTCGTAGGTTTCATCATTGTTTATTGATTCTTTTTTTTTTTTGGGTAAAAATCATTGTTTCTTGGTTATATAGAGTTCCCATTGTAAGAAATCGATAGTAAGAAATTATTTTTTTTAATACTTTGAGACCTTTTATGAGATATAAATGTCATTTTTGTCATTCTCATTTAAACGGTCTCATAATATAAAAAAAAAGATTTATCAAAACATCATATATCAATTTACATTTATTAAAAATATAATTATTAAAAATGATTATGCTAAAACACAAGGTATTAATATGAAATTTTCATTAAAAAAATAGATTCTAACAGGAGGGGCACCGGAGAGATCGAGACTCGCATTGGTCTCGACATATGAAGGTCGGCTGCAAGACCCAATGTTTGTTGGACTTATCGATCATGAGGTAAGGGTCCCAAACGGAGGCGAAACGAGCGATGCAGGGAGTTTGAAAAGGTAAACATATCAAATAACAAGAATTAAATGCTGCAAATGTCATATTTAGTGAAAAATTTACCACAAAATATAGTATATAAAAAATTTGACACAATAAATAACATTATATTAAGAGTATTTTTTACTTTTAAATATTAAATTATAATTAATACGTAAAGACGTTATGATAATAAAAAGAAAGCTGTAAAAGCGAGTTGTTAAATTAAAAGGCATCTAAATACATTAAAGACGCTCTGATAGTACGAAGAAAGCTCTAAAAGCGAGTTGTTAAATTAAAAGACATCTAAATACTCAAACCAACAAATACACTCGCAGACTTTCTTTATTTTGCTGCAATAATTTTTAAGAAAAAACGAAATATAAGGTCTTGCCATTAGGACCATCTACCATAAGATTATGTTTGGTCAGAAGAAAAGAATAATAACAATAAAAAAAAAAAAAAAAACAAAAAAAAAAAAAAAAAAAAAAAAAAAAAAAAACACATATAACTTAGGTTAGAAAATAAAGTGGCCAAGTGGGAAAATAAATGGTATGTTTGGTAATATTTTTAAAATGATTTTATTTTTAGTATAAAAGTGAAAATAAGATTGTTTTAAAAATTATTATAGGACCGATTATGAAATTGCGTTTAGTTAAGAGATTGTTTTGAGTATAGTAAAAAAGTAAAATCGTGTTTGGTTACATTTATGAAATTTTATCTCTAGTGCATGTAATTAACAATGTTAAATTAATATATTAAGTAATTAATAATTGATAATCACTTAACAAATAAAATTAAAATATTAATAATACAATAATAATTGATATATTATAATTAATGAGTACATTGATAATTAAATTATATATAATGAATTAGTATACTAAATAATTAAAAAATAGTAATTAATAATAAGTAATTACTATGTTAGTAACGTACTCATATTTATTAGTTTATAAGTAATTAATAAGAGTATTAAGAAAAAATAATTAGTATATAAATAATATATTAATATTGTATTTACTATTTAAATAATTAACTTTTAGTTATATAATTAAATAATTAGTTAATTAGTTACTAACATTTATTTAATAATCTATTATATCTATTATTTGATATATTGCATGATTAATTTTTTATAATTATTCTTTAAATAATGATGAATTGTTAATTATCAATTATTAATTACTATTGACTAGTATATTAGAATTTATTATATAATTTAATATTGATTATTAGTTGTGTAATTACAATTTGTTTTATTTATCAACTATTTACTAATTAATAGATTATAATTAATATATATGATTGATATATTAATTATTAATTATTTATTTAATAACATATTATTAATTATTCTATTATTAATATATTATATAATTAATTTTGACTGTTAATCTTTAACTAAATAATTTATTAATATTTATTATTTATCATTTTTATTAATAAAATTAAAATTTTATTAATGATAATTTAATATTAATTAATAATTAAATAATTACTATCTACTTATTAATTAGTAATTAATAATTAAATAATTTAATGTAACATGGTTGGTAAGTACTAGAAAATAAAAACAGAAAAAGAAAAACATCTTCTAATTGTTTTTTATTTTCATTTTCGTTTTTAAAATATTTGTTAAATAAACGCAATTTACAGACTGTTTTTATTTTCGTGTCTCAAAAGACGCAAGCAAATGTTTTCAAAAATAACAAAAAAAAAAAAAAACAGTTCCAAACACACCCAAAAAATAAAAAATAATTATCACAAACACAACCCAACAACCCATGAATTGCCACTGCCAAGTGCAGCCAAACTAGAAAAGAAAACCCAAGCTTATGGAATATGAGGATTTTTTCAGTCTCAATTACAAAGTTGAATAAGGAAATTTGGCAAAGTCCTTCCTTATAAAACCTGAAGAGAAAAGCGGGGTTAAATTTGAATTACAACCTGAAACAACACCATATAAAACAATTATACTAAAAAGAAGAAATATATATTTAATTTTGTATTCGTACAACATTTACAATTTATGGGTTTACAACACCTCAATCTGCATCTGCCCAACGAAAAGGTTGAACTTTGGAGTTTTCAGTAACCGCTTTCTTAATACAGTTATGAGACTTGAACAACGAAAGAACCAACAATTCAGTATCAAAGTGAGAAAAAAAGAAAAAGAAAAAGAAAAGGTTTCCCTTTACAAAATTAACCCACCGAAATTCTGTTAACTTGAGATTGCCAAAGACGATCTTCGTAGACTTCTAATTAGTTTAAACACAAAACACCAAGCTATTGTTAATAGGAAGGCTAAAATCCGACCTCCAAACAATCCCACAAGAACAATTAGAAAGAGAGTTAAACAAACCCAATTCCCTTTACTTTCTTCTTCCACTTGTTCTTCACCAACCACCGACAATTCATTCCCATCATCAATTTTCTCGAATCTCTCTTCTTCTTCACTTTGTTGGTCTTCTTCTTTCTCTTCTTCAAATTTCTCGACTTTATTATCTTCATCTTGACTATACTTCGGCTTTTTGTCTCTCTTTGAGCTACGCAACTTCTTGGGCACGAAGTTTTTGATAATCTTGGCTCTTATTTTGGCTCTTTTGCTACAACTCTTACTCTTTTCCACCACCAAAACGTCACCTTTTCCATCTTCCATGACCTCTTTTGTATCAACAAATCCCCACTTTTTGTCCCGGCTAAGAAGCTCAAGGTCAGGCCCTGCGCTAAAAATCTCCTCACGGTTTTCATCATCGTTATTATTATTATTAGCCTCGCCAACCTCAATTTCGTCAATCAAAGATTTCGACTCTTTCACATGAACAAATTCATCTTCTTCTTTCTTAAACCAAAAAAGTTTGAGAAAGCGGCAAATCAATCTTTTACCAACGTATTCGAGAAACAGGAGAACGAAAGCAGACAATGTGATCCCAACGGTGAGCTTCTTGGTGCTGAGACCCAAAACGACAACCGCGAAAATCTTCAACACCGCCAAGAAAAGGACAACGCGGTTCTGATCTTCATGGGTCACGCTCTCAACCTCCGTCTCCTCTTCTTCCTCCTCCACCGACTCGCTCGGAGTCAAATTCTCGGCCTCTTCGGAAATGGGTTCGACACAAATCGGCGAATCGTCGAGACTCGAGTGCGAATTCGCCGTGATTGGATCGGAAGTGACAAAATCGTCGATGTCGTTTTGGGGCTGGTTGGTGTCGTTTTGGTTGGTCTTCTTCTTTTTCTTCTTCTTTTTGATGGAAGGTTTCTTTAAGCGGTCGCGATTCTTGACGAAGAGGTCGATGAGGGAAGTGGGGAAGCCGGTCTCGACGACAAGAGAGCCGCCGCGTTTTGGGGATTGGAGATCGGCGACGATTCTTGAAATTCGGGTCACTTTGGTCTTCTTCCATGGAAGAGGCATGGCTGAGATTTTGCGTTGGAATTGAATTGCCGAAGAAGAGGAAGAAGAAGAGAAAAAACTGGGAATTGGGTTTGAAGAGACTGAATATTTTTTCGTGTTTTTCTTTTTCACATTATTGTCTTTATAGGATTGGTTCGGGCGTGTTTCTCATGCGGGGAATTTGGATTGGGAACCCAAGGAAAAAGAGAGAACGAGCAGTGGAAAGAGAAAAACAAAATAGGCGGAGAGAGAGAGAGAGAGAGAGAGAGAGAGAGTGGATTAAGATGGGAAAGTGACGGGAAATTGATGGCGATGCGCGTGAGCTGGGAGTAGCTGAATTAAAGGATGGGCTTAAGGCGTTTACAAAGGAAGACAATTGATTCATTTGCCCTTTTGCTTTCTCTTTTACGTCCTCAATACGGTAGATTTGTTTTTAATCGTTAGATATAACTAAAATTATATTAAACCCAAAAAAATAAACAAAACAATAATTTCTCATCAAGATTTATGATTAAAAATAGTAAATTATTGATGGTTTGTTTTTCCTTTTATTTATTTATTTGAGAAAAATAAGGTTTTTCAATGTTAGATCTAATTAAGGTTTTTTCAATATATGTAATATATATTTATGAAACTAAGGAAAATGAAAAAGCTTATTAGTATTTCATACACTATACCTTACAAAAGACTTTTCAACACTGTTTTTAACCTTAAAATGAATGCATAATTTTTTTAAAGGCAATTCTACAATAAATGTGGAAAAATAAAATAAAATAAGACACAATCGGTAGGACACAAGTTAATATGTTGGATGACGTAAAAATTATATCAAGTTTAAAGAGGTAAATTGTTTGAAATTTGATGAAAATCTACGGTTCAAAACCATGCATATCTATGTGTAGAAATTGCTCCTTTGCGTTGATTAGTTCCAAACACTGTTGTAGGTCGTTCTGTCAATTTTTATTTTGTCTTTTTATTTTGATGTGATTTTTATTAAATTTATAGTTTAAAAAACACGTACTTATATTTTATTTATTTTTCAAAAAATTGCAAAATGTCATAGCTGGTCAATATTACTACTATGGACAGTCTGAGTTGTAACAGATTCATTGTTTAAGGTCTCGTTCACTTCACCGATTTGAGTTTAGAATTCGAGTTTTGCTATAGTAAAAAGCTCTCAGAAACAGTCACATCTAACTTTTTTGCTACAGTAAAAAGTTCTCACATAAAATCACATCTTAACTCGAATTAAAAACTCAAATCAGAGAACTAGTATATATAGAAGAGGATTCAATCAGTATGACATTAGATCATATTCATTTTTAGTAATTCATTTTTACGGAAGATTCATTGTTGAGCACTGGATTATAGAGAATTTTTCTCAATGCTATGCTACATTTAGTGTATTGCTACGTTAGGAATTTGGGATAAGAAAGTGATGTTTGAAAGGAATTATATTTTCTTTTCGTTTACCAAAGGAAAAAAATCCTTTAACCCACACGTGTCAATGCTTTAATATATGAGCCATGACATTTTTAAATTCATTAAAAGTCCGTTTAGTTTGCTGATTCGAGTTTTTAATTTGAGTTAAGATATAATTTTATGTGAAAATTTTTTATTATAATAAAAAAGTTAGATGTAATAATTTTTAAAATTTTTTTACTATAATAAAATTTAAATTTTAAACTCGAATCGATAAAATAAACGGATATTAAATATAACGTTAACTTAACATAGACATTTGTATCAGAAATAAATGGTGTTATCCGGCGTATTAAACTGTTCTCTTTATGGTATTTTTATGGTACTTTTGATTAACTAATTTGTACTAGGATTTAATTTACGAAGAAGAGAAGATAAAAAAGCCATATCTTTTTCCTCTTTTTACTTTTGTAAAAAAAGCAAAAAGAGCTATGAGTGGTATGTTCTTTCCTGGATGGAGGAGAATGTGTCAATCGACCGTGTCAGTTCGTGTTTTCGCCAACAATTACTTAGCTATATATGGAGTTTCGTGTTTTCGCCAACAATTACTGCTTAATATCATTTTTAATCAATACTATATTATTTTAAAAAGTTATTAACTAAAAATAAAAGGTATAAATATAGAGGGTAAATTATCTAATTTTCTCTCGAGGGTGGAAAGGTAGCCAACAAAAACGGTATCACTTTTATAATGTGTTTGGTAGGATGGAAAAAAGAGAGAGAAAAAAAATATATGAAGAATTTTATAGAGAAAAATGAAATTTTAGGTTGTTTGGTAGAGAAAAAAAGAAAAAAAAAGAAAAATAAAAATTTACGAGAGCTATTAATTTTGAATCTTTCTAACTTTGTAAAAAAAAAAAAGAAAAAAAAAGTTTAATAAAAAAATAATATATAAAATAATAATTTTAACTTTTACTATTCATCATATTTTTATTTATATTAAAATATTATTATAAAATCTCTTAAATTTAACATTTTTTTCACTTTTTTTTTTCTTTTACCAAACAAACGTAAAAAAAAAAAAAAATATTTTACTTTTCATTCCTTTCTCTTTTCTATCCAAGATATGTCAGTGAGGTATGTCAAGCCCATGAAGCCTATTCACGAATGAAGCCCAGAAGCATGCAATAAGTTGTGTAACGTCGTTTTTGGGTAAGGGAAGGTTTATGTGACGCTGCGTTTTGAAAGAGTGACGAGTCGCTTTCTATTTTCTTTTAAATTTTTGAAAGGCCATAAAGCAATGTGCTCCCACACGAACTTCGAATGTTCACATTCCCAGTCCCATATGTGATGTTTGTTTTACATATTCGAATTATAGATTTAAACCAAGTTTAAATTCTATGAGAAAAAATGTTATAACGAAAATATTTAACATGTGATTCAAATTTCGATAAATTCACCGACATAATTCTGTTGCAAAGGGTGGGATTAAGGATTTATTGATGTCAAAATGGGTTAAGCCCAATGAGCCGTTACAAGTGTGACTTGACATAGTTTGATGAATAAATGGGCTTGGTGCGGTGCAAACAAATTCTCTTTTGTTATATATGTACTTATCTTATTTTCTTATGAGGAATATAATATGGTATTTTTTCCTTGAATCGATTTATATTTGAATTTTTTGCTTGTTATGGTTTTTAATGTAGTACATTATAACAGTTAATTTTGTTTTTATTAAAAATTAAGGATTATTATTATTAGTGCTCCGATACTTTATAATCATTTTCAGTTTACTCTTTAAATTTTAAAAACTCTCATTTTGCACTCTAAACTTTAAATTGTTTCCACTTAACTCCTTCTAATATGATGATAAAAAAAAAAAAAGAAATAACCCAATCACTTATTCTAAGGTCTAAACTCAAGAATTTTAAGTTTTTTTTTTCTTTGGTTGAAAACATCAAATTAATAGTTTGAACCAAAATTTAAAAGGCTTTGCCAAACAGACTCTCTAGTATACGACAAATAAGAAAAGTATCACATTGCGCCAGCACTTGATCCTAATTATTTTTTAAGGGCTCAAAGGTGCACAGGAAATTAATTTTGTTCTAATCTTTACCGTTCATTCTTTATGACTTGGCTCTCAGCCCTTAGATTGAGTTTTGCTATGTGTTTAAAATTATTCTATCTTTTCCTTTATTTGATTCCTTTATGTCCTTTGGCTTTATGCATCATAATCTTCATCAATTTGTTTGTTTCACAGTTTCACTTGAGGGTGCTTTGCTTTACTTTGAAGATTCACGAACTTTTATGTCATCGATTCTCCTATTTCTTTTATACTTAATTCTTTGTCTAAATTATATAGTCATTTGTATTTCGCATGTTATAAGTTAAATATAAAAGAATATTTTGATAAATTCACCGACATAATTCCTACTTTTAACTCTTAAGTCTAAGTTTGATAAGCATTAAAAAGATAATTGTGTTATTTCCCATTACACCAATTAATAAATAAGAATATTAAAAAGGGAATCAATGTGATCCTTATTCTTACAATTTGTTTTTATTTTCAATATCATTACTTTTTTCATTACATTCTTTGATGGATAAACACGTCCTAAATTTTTGAAGCTTGCAGCGCCATTCCCTATCCAAATCGTCACAAGAAGAACTCGTTTCTTGATTCGACTCTATTGGCCAACATATAAGCAGAACATCTCCCATTAGATTCTCTTAGGGAAGTTAATGAAACAGATTAACAGATGTAATTAGTTGTTCAGGTTTGTTAGAATGCTTTATCACGTGTACGGCCAATAGGTTAATTAGAGTGTAAGTTAAATCTGTTACGAGGACTTGAGCTATTAATATACAGCTTCATCTGTAATCAGTCAATAATCGATGCAATTATGGCCTCGTTCACTTCGCAGATTCGAGTTTTCAATTCGAGCTGAGATGTGACATTTTTAAGAGGTTTTTACTGTAGTAGAAAAAGTTAGATGTGACATTTTTTGAGAGCTTTTTACTGTAGAAACCTAAAATTGAAAACTCGAATTGGTGACATGAACGATGCCATAATTCATCATGAATCAATCTTTCTAGCTTATGTAGAAATTTGACGGAATCGAATTGGTACGCAAGGGAATCACTCTTTCTTTGAACGCCTAACCGTTGTACACTTTTAAAAAGTCACAGTTAATTTTTGAGGTTTTAATTTATTTCAGTTTCAGTCATTTCGTCAATTAACTGTTAAATATTTGATAGAATTTATATAAATCAGGACCGAAATTAGAAACAATAAAAATTTATGGACTATCTATGTAAATTAAATATTGTTTTTTTTGTGATATTTTAATCCATAAATTTTATATGTTTCCGATTTCGATTCTTAATTTACACAGATTCGTGCTAATAGAAGAACCAAAACTGAAATAAATCATAATATAATGACCAACTGTATGACGTTTTAAAAGTCAATGATTAAAGTAGAATTGAGGGTAAACCTCACAGACCATTTGTGAAATTAATTCTTCTTTTAAATGTTCTCTTAACTGAAGAACTACATTATTAGCATGTGAAGATGCCATTTGTTTCGTGGTTTCTTATGGTTTGAACTCATGAATTCAACTCAAACTGATGTTTAGTTGCCCATTGGCTTAGATGGCTTTTGAACCCATATATGATGTTTAAATCTATTCAAAATGGGGTTTGGAGAATTTAGCTTCCTCTTAAAATCATGGCTCATTGGGTTCGAACTTATTTGTTATAATAAAACCATGGGTCTATTTGTAGTTTATTGACAATTCTCACACTAATCAAACCTCATCTTTATTCTCTTTTTAGACTTTACAAAGTTTGAATTAGATTAAGAACTTTTGGTTAAAACACAAAAGGATTAAAATCACACGATTCAAACTCGCGAAACGAATGGAACAATAAATCCCATATCTTAAATTCTGCACATTCACTCACTCTCTCTAAATTTTCTCTCTAAATCCCCTCCTCTCTCTCTCATTCTTATCTTCTATTATAATTGTAACTTTTACATCATATAGTGAAATCCCCAAGATACTATAATGGACGTTGCATTTAAATTGAAAGTGAATCACTATAAATTTGTGTGTCCATTACTTTTCCCGCACTAGATACCAGTCATTATGGCATTGGTCCTTGGTCATGGGGGCTATTCACGGAGGAGAGGTAAACAAGGTGCTTCAAAGTTCCGAATAAGACCGCGAGATACTGGCATAAATGGCATGTAACACAATGCTTTACCTGCAAAAAGAACCTCGTTTCTAGCTTTGCACAAAAGATCCAAAACAATTGAAACATAAATGAGAAAGTTCTTGTTGCCTCCACTGAGACTATTGCTCAAAAGGATCAGGCCAAAAAAATGCTTGTAAATCCTCATAATCGCCAAAATTTTGGCTGTTAGGCGGTTTGTTTTTGAACCAATGAGACTCGATGTTGATATGACACCATCCGATCCACTGCATCTCGGTTGGTTATCTTAGGCTTGTTCTTTTACATTTTTGAGTTACGGTGATTTGAGTGATAATCTTGAGTTGAGTTTGAGTTATAACTTGAGTTGAAGTTGTAACTTGAGTTTGTGTTTGGATGTTCACATTTGAGTTCTGATTTGAATTGAGAATCTTTTTGAGTTTGTGTTTGGGTGGGTCAAAACTTAAATTTGTATTTAGATAGTATTTTAATAAAAACTCAATGGTGATGAAAAATTTTAATAGGGTATATGGGCGGGATTTTATTCGTCTTTTCGTTGTGAATGCATAGAAAAAAAATCATCTCAATCAGAATTAAAACGAAAAAGTTATGACATTTTTAAGAATAAAAAAAATACTGTTAATTAACTTGAGTTTGAGTTTATGAACTCGAGTTGAAGGGGAAACTTGAACTCGAGTTTAGCCCCAAACTCAAGTTCAAACTCGAGTTCAAACTCAAATTTTATAAAAGAATATGAGTTTGAATAAAATTGTAACTCAAATTTAAACTTTTTTTTAGTTTCGTTGTAAAAAAATAACCCTTTAATATTGGTCGCTTAAATTGAGATTCTTTTTTGCTCCTAGTAAACTATTTCATAAGATAAAATGCCATATATTAGAAAGACCAAGAAGTATTTAGTGACATTTATTAAAGTAAAAAATATACGAATTAAAGTCGAACATCCCAAAAAAAAAAAATCGCATCAAATATCAATGTTTCAGGAGTCTTTGGGGTTGTTCTTTTGCAACAAAACTCTGAAAAAGTTTGAATTCGAGTTACAATTTTATTTAAGTTCATGTTCTTTTGTAAAAATTAAGTTTGAACTCGAATTTAAATTCGAGTTTGAACTCGAGTTTGGAGCTAAATTCGAGTTCAAGTTTTCCCTTTAACTTGAGTTCATAAACTCGAACTCAAGTTAATGAACAATATTTTTTCTATTTTTAAAAATGTCATAACTTTTTCGTTTTAATTCTGATTGAGATTATTTTTTTCTATGCATTCACAACGAAAAGACAAATAAAACCCCACCTATATACCACATTAAAATTTTTCATCGCCATTGAGTTTTTATTAAAATACTATTTAAATACAAATTTAAGTTTTGACTCACCCAAACACAAAATCAAAAAGATTCTCAATTCAAATCACAACTCAAATGTGCATATCCAAACACAAACTCAAATTATAATTTCAATTTAAATTATAACTCAAACTCAACTCAAAATCATCACTCAAATCATCCTAACTAAAAAATATAAAAGAACAACCCCCTCTTGTTAAAACTTACAACTCATAACAAAACAATATAAGCCCCACATAACCAGCCAATCAGAGATCGGTGTACCGACCAAAATTCCAAAAATACCCAACTTAATTCACCATATTTACACATCCAAGCCCGTCCAATAAAATTCTCCCTATCATTTCACACAAACCCTCATTTTCCTCCAATCCATCCCTTCTCTGATTCCCAAACCCAAACCCACCAAAGTCACCATCCTTTCCCCGCACTTTCCCGAGAAACAAACAAACAAACGAAAATGAGAGAAATTCTCCACATACAGGGAGGGCAATGCGGGAACCAGATCGGAGCCAAGTTCTGGGAGGTGATCTGCGACGAGCACGGCATAGACCACACTGGAAAGTACAGCGGCGACTCGGAGCTCCAGCTCGAGCGCATCAATGTCTACTACAACGAGGCCAGTGGCGGAAGGTACGTCCCACGCGCCGTCCTCATGGATCTGGAGCCCGGGACCATGGACTCCGTCAGATCTGGGCCGTTCGGACAGATCTTCAGGCCGGATAACTTCGTTTTCGGTCAGTCCGGCGCCGGAAACAATTGGGCGAAAGGCCATTACACCGAGGGCGCCGAGCTCATAGATTCCGTTCTCGATGTCGTTCGCAAGGAGGCCGAGAATTGCGATTGCTTGCAAGGTATAGCAAGAAACGTTTGATTTTTCTTGTTTTTGGTGTGTAATTTTTTAATTTTATTTTTATCTGATTTGGTATCTGATTGTGATGTTTTGAGTTGAATTATGGTGATGAATTTGGTTTGGGTTTGCTAATTTTTGTGATCGACATTGAATATGAACTTGAAGAAGATGAAATTACTTAGATTATCTTTCTATTTATCATGAAGTCCATAATCCATATCTCTTGCTTGGGTTTCTTGATTTGTTGTTTCAAGAGAATTATTGACGAATCATGGCTGACTTGACCTGTACAGTCCGAATTTTGTACATTTTGTCATGAATACGGTTAATGTTGTTATTTTGTACGCTTTCTTCCCGTTTGGGATTTCAATTGGGTAAGATTTTTTTTTGTTTCCTCGGAAACCAGCATTATACCTTCTTTCTGAAATATTTTGGGGGAACAACCAAAGAAACCTTATCCATAAACCAAGAAACCGAAAAAAAAAAAGAAAACTTATTCATAAACGAAGAAACCTTTGATTGTACTTGATTGGTGGGAAATGTCATGGTTTTTTGTTTTATTGCATTGAATTTTCCTGTCTCGACATCCTTTTTCCCTTCAGAAATTGTTTATGTATTCTTTTCACAGTATTTTAAGCTGAACTGTGTTATAGAATTCCATTCACATATTCTGCATCACCGTTTATATTTTGAACAGGATTCCAAGTGTGTCATTCATTGGGTGGTGGTACGGGTTCTGGCATGGGAACTCTTCTTATTTCAAAGATCAGGGAGGAGTATCCAGATCGGATGATGTTGACATTTTCCGTCTTCCCTTCTCCAAAGGTGTCCGACACTGTTGTTGAACCATATAACGCCACCCTCTCAGTGCACCAGCTTGTTGAAAATGCTGATGAATGTATGGTTTTGGACAATGAAGCTCTATATGACATTTGCTTCAGAACTCTCAAGCTTGCTACTCCTACTTGTAAGTCCCAAGTTCTTTTTGCTCTTGAAACTTCCTACAACATTCTTCAATGATGTTATTTTTCCTTTCTGGAAAATTTATCGAGCATGACATGACAAGGTAGTTCATGACAAGGTAGTTAACCATAAAGTTCTGTATTTCATGAAAATAATTAAATGGCGTCAAGATAAGAGCGGTTTGGTTGGTATGGGTTGGTGGTTAAACTTGTAATTGTTGGTTTAGAAGTCTTTTCTTTAACTGGTTGTTGCACTTTCATAATTAGTGGTACCAGGTCTCTCTCTGTAATTAGGAAGACAACTGAAGAATAAGATATGTATTTTGCTTGAATAGTTTGCAACTAATTTGTTACATAATTACTGAAAAGAATGTTAACCAACTGTTGCAACACCTTTTTGCTTTGTCAATTCAGTTGGTGATCTCAACCATCTCATCTCTGCTACCATGAGTGGTGTCACGTGTTGTCTAAGGTTCCCTGGACAGCTGAACTCTGACCTCCGGAAACTGGCTGTTAACCTCATTCCTTTCCCTCGCCTGCACTTCTTTATGGTTGGATTTGCCCCACTAACTTCGAGAGGATCCCAGCAGTACCGTGCTCTCACTGTGCCTGAACTGACCCAGCAGATGTGGGATGCCAAAAACATGATGTGCGCAGCTGATCCACGCCATGGTCGTTACCTCACCGCTTCCGCCATGTTCCGTGGTAAGATGAGCACAAAAGAAGTCGATGAACAGATGATCAACGTCCAGAACAAGAACTCCTCATACTTTGTCGAGTGGATACCCAACAATGTGAAGTCTAGCGTGTGTGACATTCCACCCAAGGGTCTGAAGTTGGCTTCGACTTTTATTGGAAACTCGACTTCAATTCAGGAGATGTTCAGGAGGGTCAGCGAGCAGTTCACGGCTATGTTCAGGCGCAAGGCTTTCTTGCACTGGTACACTGGCGAGGGAATGGATGAGATGGAGTTCACCGAGGCTGAGAGCAACATGAATGATCTGGTGGCGGAGTACCAGCAGTACCAGGACGCTACTGCTGATGAGGAGGAATACGAGGAGGAAGAGGAGGAGGAGATTGTTGGCTGATGTCTGTTTGTAGTTGGTTCAGTTTGTGTCTAAAGCTTGTATTGTTGTTGGCTTACTTTCGGTTTAAGCGAGTGATTGTCCGTTCTCCCGCAGTCAATTTAGCTTTGACATGTTGATGTGTATACCATATTACCATTTTGCTATTATGCGTCCTCGTATAGAAATGGGTTTTGTAACTATGCCATTTGTTTCGGATTGTCTTTTATGATATCCACAGTATTGGTTAATTTTATTTTATTTTTTTCCTGTCTGAATAAATCTGTATTTGTTCGATGGATTTATGTGACACGCTTTAACTTTGAGAATTTATCGAGAATAACCTACTTTAAACCCAAAGAGGATAGATTCCACGCCGGTTGCCTAATACATCGTGGCGCAAGTGAAATGAAATGTATATATTTTTTAAAAAAGTATTAGAGAAAAACATACTTTATTGTTTTTTTAATCGTTAGGTATTTTCATAGAAATATATATATTTATAATTGCTTACTGTTTAATTATTATGTTGGTACAATATGATAAGTACTCCAGCCATATACAAATTTTGTTCCTAAACTTATTATAATTTAGCTTTTGCTGAGTGGAGTCCTAATGTGATAGATCTTTTTGTTGATTTGGATGACGGATAATTATTTTTTGAACAAAAAATCTCTAAAGTCTGATATCACTTCGGAGAATTTTTCTTCAAAAAACAAATAAACTAAATAAAAAAATTTCTCTTCCATGGCCGGCTCTTCTTTCCCGTTTCATCGTGCAGACATAGTCATGTTATTTTTTTTTATTTTTATTTTTTACTTTTTTATTTTTATTTTTGCTAATCAACATACTTATGTTATTTGAACACTGGCTGGCATGTGGTTGTCAGCTCGTCATTACCACCTCATAACAGAACTACAAAAAAATATCTATTTTTTAAGCATTTTCATGAACAAATTTTTTTATTTAGAAAAATGTAATTTGATATCATATAATTCGTTTTCCTAGCAAATCTCTCCCCAGGCAACACTATTTGGGTATCTCAATTGAAATGTCAGTTAGCAAAAAAAAAAAAAAAAAAAAAAAAAAAACCCAAAAAAAAAAAAAAAAAAAAAAAAACCTCAATTGAAATGTCAAAATTACCCTTTGTCAAGCTTGAGCAGCACTTGGATTATATTACGAGTGCATTCAGATTTCAGAGGGGATAAAAAATAATGGTGATTTCGGCTTTGTGTTTGAAAGTGAGAAATATTTCTCATCATGAAAAGGTAATATAAACACCAATTCATTACTTTATAGCCTCTTCTTATAGGAAACATGGTACTAGCAAAACAAATTCAATTCACCAATGAACTCAAATGACATGCTTAAATTGGTGTGTATCAGGCTCCACAAACAGACACCACAAGGTACACCAAAAATTAAGGTCTCGTTTGTTTCGCGGATTCGAATTTTCAATTCGAGCTGAGTGTGACATTTTCTGAAGCTTTTAACTGTAACAGAAAAAGTTGAATGTGACACTTTCTGAGAACTTTTAACTGTAGAAACCTAAAATTGAAAACTTAAATTGGTAAAATAAATGAGATTTAAGTTCACGCATCTCTTTAAGAGATTCTTTAAAATGATAGAAATATTCGATTAGTTGATATCGAAAAATCCATAGCATCTAGGTCATACAAAAAACCATAAAGAAACAAACTAATAGACATAAAATACAACCAAAAACCAAGTAAGGACAAATAAATTGGGAGGGGACTTGAATTTTGAAACAACAGGAAAAGGTCGGACATTGAATGGAGGAAAAAGCACCGTCAACATGCCATCGAATCAACACATATGCACCGCATGCACAACCAACGCAATCTCGGCAACCATGGAGACAAATTTTTTGAAGTTTTTTTTAATTTGAAGTGATTTTTTTTTTGTAATTTTTTGGTATACTAAGGTATTTGTAAGTGAAAAAATCCCGAAAAATATTTATGATGATTCCATGCTAACGGATTATGCTTTTTCTAGTTTATCTGACATTATTTGGCTAGATTGTTGCCCTAGATTTATTGGTACCTTTGTACATTTGGATTTATTCTCTCTAATTGAAAGAACTTTGCGTTCAAAAGGAAAAAAAAAATTGTTTTGTTTATTATTTATTTTTATTAACTGTGTGTGCTTATGCGACATAAGAGGGAACTAAAAAGTACACAAATAGAAAGAAGTAACCTTTAATCTTGAAAATACCTTTTTTCTAATCCTACAATAAAATTGTCTCATTTGTATGGAAGTATATATAGTAAGACGTTCATTTCACTGATTCGAGTTTCGCTACAGTAAAAAACTCTCAGAAATAGTCATATTTAACTTTTTTACTATAGTAAAAAGCTCTTATATAAAATCACATCTCAACTCGAATTAAGAATTTAATTGACTGAGAATTCGAATAAACAAATTAAATGGGCTCTAAGTGAGCTAAAAACAGTCTGTTAAAAATCACTAGAATAACTTATCTTACGATAAAATTGTCTCTATGGAAGTGTATATAATAAGTGAGCTAAAAACAATCTATTAAAGATCACTAGCAATCTAACATAACCTTACTTGTCTTGAAGTCCTCGTTCATTTCACCAATTTAAATTTTTAATTTCAGTTTTATTACAGTTAAAAGCTCTCACAAAAAGTCACATCTAATTTTTCTACTACAGTGAAAAGTCTCACATAAAATTACATCTCACCTCAAATTAAAAACTTAAATTTGCGAATTAAATGATATCAAATTCATCGGTGGTTTCAAAATTTGGGGTACAAAATGGATATTTGGCATCTTTGGGGTTAGGAAGGTTAGTGTATTGTGCCAGTGTCGTCTTGTCGCTGAGCTGGAACATCAAATGGATAAGGGAGATCGAAGGATATTAATTATTTGGACGTTTTCATTAGGAAAAAAAAAAAAAAAAAAAAAAAAAGGAATATTTGGCCGTTTTAGTGGGTGAGTTAAAATGCCTTCCTAATATAAGGACATATTGCAGTAGCTCCCAAAGCTATTCCAAATCCATTTTGTGTTTTGTATGTTTTCGTTAACGACGAATCCGGATTATCCATACATGTAGGCCTTTTAAAGGCCATTGAAAAGACTTCTCACTTGTCCTACTATGCTATAAGGGGTGCATCCAAGTCGTTTTAGATAATTTTTGGGCGATTTTAGCGATTGGAAAAATGATGTCGAGAGAATTATTTACGCCTCGTTTATTTCACCGATTCGAGTTTTTAATTTTAAGTTTCTACAGTAAAAAGTTTTCAGAAAATGTCACATCTAAGTTTTTTTGCTACAGTGAAAAGCTCTCAGAAAATGTCACATTTCAGCTCGAATTGAAAACTCGAATCCGTGAAGTGAACGAGACCTTAATTTATCCAAATTTTAATTTTTATCTCTTACTCTTAATTATTACTTTTTTTTTTTTTTTTTTACTAATATAGAGACTTTTCCCTCTCCAACTAGACTAGAATAAAGAAGGGCCGGGCCTTTATATATTTTTTCATTCCGCGATTCTCATGTATCTTTGGTTAGAACTATAGTCTAAGATCGGAAGAGGCTTTTTTTCAAATCTTTCTTCCTTCGCTTTCACTTCTTCCCTTTACCTCCCCACAGATAGGGCCAAGGTTACTGAAGAATTCTTGTTAGATTTATTTATTTGACTAAACTGATATTAATTAAAAATAAATGGTAAAAATTTATACTCATACACTTTAAAAAGGGTATTTGTCTATTTTCTTAAAAAGTATCTTACCAAAACTGACCAATATAGAGACGACAATAGAGCATGACAAGATGGGATTATGATCAGGGTTCCCCATTTGGGGTGTCTTTACCTTCTCCGTTAAATTTCTGATGTAATATCATTATGTGTATCTTAAAATTATCGCAATTTAAAACAAAAACAAAATATAAATACACTATAAATTTAAACTAAAATCAACCATTTCACAAACAAACGAGATTCTAAGCACTTAAAAAATCAAATCTAAATAATAAAGCCATAAAAGGAATGATTATGTTTAAAAATTTAATTTACATTTCTATTTTTCTGTAATATATATACATATATCATGACAGACGTTTAGTGTGAGGATTTCTTCCTCGTCAACGCCCCGCCATAGTTTGGGAAAACGATTTTGTCTCCATCCCTATTCCTGTCCATGTCCCCAATTATTATCCTCCATCTCTGACCGAAGGATACTTTCATCTCCACTAACAATACCTGGTTTTTTATTACTTACCTGTATAATTTGAAACTTTGTATTAAGCATGTAAATTATTTAAACTTGATAACTAACTTGTTAGTCTAATGTTGTAATCCTATAAAATAATTATATATGATATATAATTCAAACATAATAATTGAAAACTAACAATTGCAATAAATTATACAGAAACAATTAACATAATAGTCCAAAACTGTAATTCCACAAAAATGTGTCGACCAAAAACTTGGCATTCCAGTCCAAAATTTATAAAAAAAAAAGGCAGACCCCAGTGTCAAAAAGGCTCCCGTACTATGACAGGCTCGGAGGATAACTCAATCCCATATGTACGCGATCTTACCCCTCCGAAGGAGAGGCCGTTTCCGGGATTCAAACCTTGAACCCCGAGTGCAAACGCAAGCACTCCCACAACAGTGCCAAGGCCTGCCTTCCCAGTCCAAAATTTATAATACCAACAAATACATGGAGAAAAAGTTGACATAATAGTCTGACCTCACACTCTTATAAAATAGTTACCTATCAAAAGACATAATACTAATAACATATATACACCAAGAGAAGTTTAAAACACAGACGGTTAAACGAGCTGTTAAAATGGTTAAAAAAAAAAAAAAAAACAGTTGGAGTAAATTGCGCTTGTTTTGTGCAACCCTAGCTAGAGGCCTTTCTCTCGAGTTTTCTGATCATCGCTGAATTAATTTACATTCATAACTCTATTTTTAACCACTCTTGACTCATTAGGCAAGGGGAGAATTCTCACTAGATGAGTGGATAGTGTTAAATAACACTTCTTAATTCTCCCGACGCTTAAAAAAATTGCAACAAGTAATACTTATAAAGTAGGAAGATTCACTAGAAAAAAAAAAAGGTCGAAATAAATAGACTCGTTCTCTTTTCTTAACCTATGTTTTTCAAAAGCATATAATGTTAGTTTACCAATACATCCTAAAAGCTTAAGCTATTAGAAGGTGGGCCAACAATATTTTTATACTTTAACACTCTCCCTCACGTGTGGGCTGAACAATGAGTAATCGTGTGAGTAAATTAATTAAAAAGCCCCACATGTGAATATTTAAGCCCGAGATATATTAAAGACCGAATACGTGATGACAATTTAAATGGAGATGAAGAGTGGGCAATCGTGTGGGTAAATTAATTGAAAAGCCCAACAAGTGAATATTTAAGCCCGAGATATATTGAAGACCCAACGCGTGATGACAATTTAAATGGGGATGAAGAGTGCAATTATGGGGGTTTGAACTCATGATCTCTCGCTCTGATACCATGTTAATTTACCAATACATCCCCAAAACTTAAACTATTAGGAAGTGGGCCAACAATAGTTTTATACTTTAATATATAATAACTAGTCCTAATTTTTAACCTATTTCCGCTAATTTTATTTTGTTTCCATTTTTTTTTTCTCTTATGGAGCTAGGCCGCCACTATTTTATAGCAACATAGCGACAAAGTCGCAACAATAATTGTTGATAAATAAAAATTAGTAGATACGAAGTTAGCATATTACACGAGTTAGCATTAATATTACACAAAATTATGCGTCCCTTTCCATATTTTAGGTAGCCGTGTCTTATATTTACACTCCGACAATTAATTTTAACATTCATATCCATACCTTTAAAGAAAAAAAAAAAAGAAAAGACCAAGTCATTGGCTAGCCATGCGTGGTGTGCTTTAATTAGTAAACGTTCTTTGGTTCACGTACCATTATAAGACCATGTCATAGCACTTACGACCAGTATAAGAACAGGTAAGAATAATAAAAAGTCGGTAATATAATGACAAAAAGTTATTCTCGAACAGGTATGAGCGCGTATAAATATATATATATATATATATATATATATATATGTACATATATATATTCTTCCCAGCAAACAGATACGATATAAAATATACATATATACGTTGTATGGAAGGGTCAAACAAAAGCAATTACCAGTGTATCTATCATTTTTCCCTTATCCCTTTTGACCAAGCAAAGGGAAACATTGCGATGTGGAAGCGCAAGAATTGCCGGCTGTATACACACACACATACGTACATACCTATGAATTGCTCAACATACGACGAAGTCGAATTGCAACGTTTCTAAGATTGATTTTTTTTGTTTTTGTTTTTTTTTTTTTGTTTTTAGTGGGCGGGTTGTATTCATGTTTTTGTAACTTACATGATATTATTATTACTATATACTCGTTACTAGGTCTATTATGGACCATGACTAGACTAGACCCTTTCAACGCAAGATAACAATTTTACGTACCGTATTCATGTCCTCCCTCTTTATAAAAAGGAGTTTCATCTGTGTTCTTTGGCAATTCAAGTAAGAATATTATCTCCTCGTTGCTGATAAGTTTAAAGCAAAAAGACCTTGCTCTCTCGTAATCGACGATTATGGCTTCTCCTTTCCTGATGTTAGGATTGTTTGCTTTAATAACTTGTTCCATTGTCTTTGCATATGATCCTAGTCCACTCCAAGATTTCTGCGTCAAAGATCCCGACAGTTCGGGTATGTATGTCGTGCTGTATATTAGCTATATGAGTTTTCAATGATTACGTCCCATTCTGATTACTCATTAAATATAAAAAATTCAATGACGTGACATGATAAGAATCTAACTTCATTAATTGTATATATGATATGCTCATCATTGAAGTTTTCAGTAAATTTTACCTTCTTATTTGTTAGAATAGCAAACTAATCCCATGATCATTGGTTTGCTATTTTAACATTATTTATAACTTCCATTAAAAAAAAAAAGAGAAAAAAGAGAAAATCGTTGAACTTACTGTTAAAGTTTATGAATTTAGATTTTCGCACCTCACCAGTGACGAAGCTATAAACTTTCATGAGAGAGGTTAATTTTAACTATATCAAAAATTTGATTAGAATTAATCGTTAACTTAGTACAATTTGTTCCCAAAGGGATTTCATGTCTTAGAAAATACTGCGTAATAACCACATATCTCCAATTTGGTTGTGTAGATAATTTTCACAATATTCATGGCAAAAAAAAACCCCCCTTTTTATAGTAGAGGTAATGCTAATGTTAGAAGTAAATAACTAATAGATATGTACCATTTATTATTAGTTACTTATAAAAGACTCTTAGAGTTAAAATTAAGACCCCGTTCATTTAACTGATTTGAGTTTAGAATTTGAGTTTTGTTACAGTAAAAAGTTTTCAGAAATAGTCACATTTAACTTTTTTTGTTAGAGTAAAAAGCTCTAACATAAAGTCATATCTTAACTCGAATTAAAAACTCGAATCAACGAACTAAACGGGCCTTAATAGTTTTTTTAGAAAGTAGAACCTACCTAATTAACTTGTTTATTGTATAATTAATGCAGTGCTAGTGAATGGATTTGCCTGCAAGGACCCCAAGCTCGTAGAGGCGAATGACTTCTTCTACAGCGGTCTCAACATTCGAGGAAACACATCAAACCCCGTCGGATCTCGTGTGACTCTTATAAACGTGGACCTAATTCCAGGGCTCAACACTTTGGGCGTTTCCCTGGCCCGCGTCGACTACGATCCATGGGGCCTAAACCCACCACACTTACATCCCCGAGCCACCGAGGTGTTAACCCTTGTACGAGGCACTCTCCAAGTGGGTTTTGTCACTTCTAATCCAGAAAACCGCTTGATTACCAAGGTTCTCCAGAAGGGCGACGTGTTCGTCTTCCCAAAAGGTCTCGTTCACTTCCAGAGAAACATTGGTCATGGTAATGCGCTTGCGTTTTCTGCCTTGAGCAGCCAAAATCCAGGGATCAATACGGTTGCAAATGTTGTGTTCGGATCTGTGCCTGACATCTCCGCTGATATTCTTGCCAAGGCTTTTCAAGTCGATAAGAATGTTGTCTTAAATATCCAGTCTAAGTTTTAGACACGTTTAATCGTGTACGTCATAGGGCTATGCAACTGTCATAGGTATTTTTTTATTTCATTTCTATTCACTTATCAAATAATTGGTTCATGAATTCAGAATTATTCTCGTTTTACGTGTATTTTTTGTGAGAGAAAAAGTCACGAATTATAAAGCGAATCCTCCTTCCAAACGCACGCTTAGTTTTCGGTTGGCAGGAAATTATATTGTGTGAAAGCAGATTCGTTCTTATTTATGCTTATTTTGTAATTTCGTACGGAATAAATGTGGACATTGCTTTGTGATTCACAAACACTAATGCACTTTTCTTATTTGCTTTTTTTGTTCCCTTTTCTTTTTGCCTCCAAAAAAATGTGAAACTATTTTTTTTTTCTTCTGCACTATTTGGTTTGGTTTTTACTCTGTTTTCTCTTAGAGCACACCTATGTGTTTCTCTAGGGATTTATCCTATAAGTGTTCTTTAATTTTGGCATATTAGTCTTTAAGCTTTTGCTTTGTTGACAGTTTTTGTTCCCTAACATGAAAATTGATAACACAATTTCAAAAAGTTTGACAGAAATAATCATATATCGATTGCATGATAATTTAAAATTTTAGAAAAAGAGTTACATTAAATGTAAAATTTCCTATTTGTTATCATTAAAACCTGTTAATGATTAGAGCAATTGGCACATGTGGTTTATAAACTATTTAGTAAGTGACAATTTAATCATTCATTTTTTTAATCTTAGCAAAATAATTCCTAAACTCTTTCAATATCGACGATTATCACCTTTGTGTCTTCTTCCATTAAAAAATTTAATAAAATAATGCACATTATCAACTAATTAATAATTAGGTAAAATACTACTACTTCATAAAATAAAATAAAATGGCATTTATTCTACAAAAACTAAGAGAAAAAGACGAAGACAAAAACCATATAATTATCAAAGGACAAAATGTCTTCCTCTAAGAAGCTAATTAAAAACAAAGGAAAATGTGATTGTTTTTGAGAACTTTTTACTGTGATTGTTTATTGTAATAAAAGAGTTAAATGTGATTGTTTTTGAGAACTTTTTACTGTAACAAAACTTGAATCAATGAAATGAATGAGGCCATAATTTCTTACAACTTATTCAACTAATCCATATTTATCTCTTTTAGTTTATAATCTAATCCTTGTAGCGATGAAACATTATCATAATATAATTACAGTGTTTGTGAATGGGTTTGGTTGTAAGGACTCCAACCTTGTCCAGCCCAACGACTTCTTCATGAGTGGGCTTCAAATACCCAGTTGGGTCACGCGTGACTGCAGTGAATGTGGGCCCAATCCAGGCCTCAATACTCTTGGAATCTCCCTCATCCTCGCGCAACTGAAATATTGACTCTTCTCGAAGGCACTCTCGAAGTGGGTTTTGCCACCTCCAACCCAGAAAACCGTCTCATTAAGAACGTTCTCCAAAAAGGAGACGTTTTTGTTTTCCCAGTTGGCCTTGTGCACTTCCAGAGAAATATTGGATACGGCAAAGCAGTTGCCATTGCAGCTTTTGAGCAGCCAAAATCCGGGGGTTGTCACCATTGCCAATGCGGTGTTCGGATCAAATCCCGACATCTCTGCAGATATTCTTGCAAAAGCTTTCCAAGTGGATAAAAACGCAGTTCTAGGCGTGCAATCCAAGTTTTGAGTAGTCAAAACTTGCGTGATGATGTCAAGGGTTATCAATTATTTCGTTTGGAATATTTTTGATGGTGTCTATTAGTATTTACTTCATGTAATTTGATTCGTCATGTGTTGGTCGGTTTGATTGTTTTCATTTGAGTCGTATTTGTAACACATATGGATAGTGGAAGTTATTTCTTTTCAGTGATTCGCAAATTGTAAGCACTTTGGATTGGTTCCATTCTGTAATTCTTGTACGGTGCTAAGATTTTTAATTACTAAACCCGCTTTTGTTTGTGTGATACGCAAATGGTTCTCACTCGTTTCGCTTGTTCAAGTTGAGAATTTGAGTTAAAAAAGTGAACTCATGTGTTGAAAACACTATAGAAGAGAATGTTGAATTTGAATTTTTGTGAGAGAAAATACTGTAACAGTTACAGAACTTTGAGTTGTGATTCGAACTAGTAAAATGAACGAAATCTAAATGTGAGTCGTCACTCAAATGAGGTTTTTATTATTATTATTTACCAGTTCTATCATCAATTATCATATCGTAAAAAACAGCTCATGCTCTTCAAGTTAAAAGCAAAAGGGATTCAAGTTGAAAAAACAGCCAAGTGCACGTAATCTTGTGCATGGTCCTTTTTTTTTTTTTTTAAATAACATATAAGGTCCGTTTATTTCATATACTCAAATTTAAATAATTAATTTTATTATAATATTTTCTTCTCACAAAAAGTTTAAAATTTTAAACGTTAAAATTAAAAATCATAATTTAAGTATTCCCTCTAAATGGCCCATAAAAAAGGGCTAGGCCATAGGCGGTATCCCGGCTAAAAGTGGGTTCAGCCTAGCCAAACCAGGTAATTTAAACAAGCTTACAAAACAAGTAATAAATTGTGTAAATTTAGCGGGGTTACTTTTGAGAAAGCAAGTAATAATAATTAAATACAATTAGCTCTTATGTTTTCAATCCCAGAGTCGTTATAAAAAGCTTGGCTGCCGCCTTGCAATAATGCACTTCCATAACATTACACGTCTCTTATTTTGCTGGTAATTGAGCTAAGCGTTCAAATTTTGAAACTGTACTCATAATATATATTGTTTCAACAAGCTGTATCATTTATATCAATAGACAATTAACATTCATATCAAAAAAAAAAAAAGAAAATAAATTTAAATAAAAAAATCTTTGATCAGCTTGCGAAACTACCAAGTCCATATATAGTAGGAAGTGTGAATTCTCCAGTTGGCTAGGCCTGATATTTTTCATATGCATGGGCGCCGGCGAGCATTATATATATAAAGAAATTATTCATGACAAACTATTTAGCAAATTAAAAATTGCAATATATATATATATATATATATATATCCTTGTTTTGTTGTATGCAAATGCCAAACGGTTTAATGTTATCTTTGATGAAGACCAGACTTCTTCAATTCAAAGTAGAAATCCCGCGTCTTCTCCTCCTATAAAAGCAGGTCTATTTGGTTCTCATTTCACAGTTCAAGAGAAAACTTTCTTTCTTACAAAGTTCTACGCAAAGTTCTCTCTATTTATTTTAGGTATTTCCAATTATCAATAATAACTTGTAACGTCACAATGGAGTCTTCTCATGGATTACTTATGTTAGGGTTATTTGCTATGATTTGTTCAATTGCCTTCGCTTCTGATCCTAGTCCTCTTCAAGATTTCTGTGTCGCAGATTCTAATGGTCCAGGTACGTTACAATAACAAAGTCGCCCTTAAATATTTATAACTTGCAATAATCAAGTATGTGATCAATATGAATTTTAATAGTACTGTTAACGAACTTCAAAAGTTCTTTATGCTATATCTTGCGGGAAAATTACATATGTACAATTCGTGAAACAAATTTCATTATCTAGTTTTTCTTCTTGCCGTAGCACGAGTAACTATAAATTATGCAGGTTTCATTTTTTAAAATCTTTCTAAGTTTCGTGTGAATTATAGGAATATTTTTGAATACCATTTTTGTGATGAAGATATTCATGTTTAATTTAGACATAAAACTGATACGAGTTAATTAATAACTGGACTTTATTAGCAGTTTGTCTGATTTAGAGGAATTTTAAAAAACCACTTTGACAGAGTTGGTAATTAAATTTATCACTCTAATGGGAAATAATTAAAACTTAATTCATAAGTTAAATTTTAGCATGAATGAATATGCACTAGACATCAAAATGGTAACCTAAATTGACACTTTTATTTACTTTGCTTCATTGGGACAGTACTAGTGAACGGGCTCAGCTGCAAAGACTCCAAGATGGTTGAGGCCCAAGACTTCTTCTTCAGTGGGCTTCACATAGCAGGAAACACATCAAACGCAGTTGGATCACGTGTGACTGCTGTGAACGTGGCCGAAATTCCAGGCCTAAACACTCTTGGAATCTCCCTTGCCCGAGTTGACTATGCACCGTGGGGCATTAACCCACCACACACGCATCCTCGCGCAACTGAAATATTGACAGTTCTTGAAGGCACTCTCGAAGTGGGTTTTGTCACCTCCAACCCGGAAAACCGTCTCATTAAAAAAGTTGTTTATAAGGGTGATGTGTTTGTGTTCCCAATTGGTCTTGTTCACTTCCAGAGAAACATTGGTTATGGTAATGCCGTTGCCATTGCAGCTTTGAGCAGCCAAAATCCGGGGGTCATTACCGTCGCGAATGCGGTGTTCGGATCTAATCCCGACATCTCTCCCGATATTCTTGCAAAAGCTTTCCAAGTGGATAAAAACGTAGTTCTAGGTGTGCAATCCAAGTTTTGAGTAGTCAAAACTTGCGTGATGATGTCAAGGCAATTATTTCATTTGGAATATTATTGATGGTGTCTACTATTATTTGCTTCATGTAATTGGACTCGTCATGTGTTGGTCGATTTGATTGTTTTCATTTGAGTCGTATTTGTAACACATATGGACAGTGGAAGTTATTTCTTTTCAGTGATTCTTAAATTATAAGCACTTTGGATTGGTTCAATTTTGTAATTCATGTATGGTGCTAAGATTTTTAATTACTAAACCCGCTTTTGTTTGTGTAATATGCAAATGGTCCTCATTTGTTTCGTTGTTTAAGTTGAGAACTTGAGTTAAAAAATTCAATTCTTGTGTTGAAAACACTATAGCAGAAAAAGCTGACTATGAATTTTTATGAGAGAAAATACTGTAGCCTATACTTGAGTTGTGATTCGAACTAACGAAATGAATGGGGTCTAAATGTGGGTCGTTACTCAGTTGAGATTTTTATTCTTATTATTATTTATTAGTTCTATCATCAATAATCATCTTGTAAAGAAGCTCATGCTCTTCAAGTTAGAAGCAAACGGGATTCAAGTTGGGAAAATAGTCAAGTACGTACTATTGTGGATGGTTCTTTTTTTTTTTTTTTTTTTTAAAGAACATATAGGGTCCATTTGTTTCATATATTTAAACTCAAATGATTAATTTTGTTACAATATTTTTCTCTTACAAAAAATTTAAATTTCAAACGTCAGAATCAAAAATCATAGTTTAAGTATACATTTCAAACGGACCCATAAAGAAAAGGGCTAGGCCGTAGACGGTATCATGTTAAAAGTAGGGTTGGCATAGCCGAACCAGGTAATGTAAACAAGCTTACAAAACAAGTAATAAATTGTTTAAATTTAGCAGGGTACTACTTTTAAGAAAGCAATTAAAAAAATTTTGAGTAATTTTTGTTTTCTTTCTATAGATGACATATGTAGACGACATAAGATTATTTGTAATAAATACTAATGTCAATTGTATATTTAACATAAAAAATGGTGATATGGTATGTCATTTTTATTGTTGAGCATGCTGCCATAACATCATAGGCAAAAGTATGTGCACATATAATGCGTGCGTGTATCTACACACACATATATCCCCTTTATTTAAAAATACATAAGATATAATTAACATTTGCCAAAATAGTCATATTAACAGATTCAGATCTTTTGTTTAATTATGTGTCACAATGTGTGTTTAACCAATCATATCATGCCACATCGAGAAAGAAATTTAAATTGCTTATTGACTAATTTTTTATGTGCTTATCATAAGATAATGCGGTATGATATATCTGAATATCCCATATTAACATGCTAAAAATGGTACGAATATAATCCATAAGCTATACTAAGATAAAGAACACAGTAAGCTGATAATTAGCTCCTTTTTCTGTTCGTTTATTTATTTATTTCTGCCAACAGCTCTTAGCTTGTTGTGTGCGTTAGCTATTTAACAGTTCATCCATATATGTTTCTATAGTGCGTTGTTTTTGCTAACTAGATGCAATATATATGACAAGAAAGTGAAACAAAATGCTTAATACACGAAAATTTTTTAGACATTTGTGCATGATATTTTCTTTTCAATCGAATATATATCGCAATAAATAATAATTAAATACAATTAGCTCTTATGTTTTCAATCCCAGAGTCGTTATAAAGAGCTTGGCTGCCGCCTTGCAATAATGCACTTCCATAACATTACACGTCTCTTATTTTGCTGGTAATTGAGTTAAGCGTTCAAATATTGAAACTGTACTCATAATATATATTGTTTCAACAAGCTGTATCATTTATATCAATAGACAATTAATATTCCTGTAAAAAAAAGAAAATAAATTTAAATAAAATTTTTTTGATCAGCTTGCCAAACTACCAAGTCCATAGAAGGAAGTGTGAATTCTCCAGTTTGGCTAGGCCTGATATTTTTCATATGCATGGGCGCCGGCGAGCATTATATATATAAAGAAATTATTCATGACAAACTATTTAGCAAATTAAAAATTGCAATATATATATATATATATATATATATATCCTTGTTTTGTTGTATGCGAATGCTAAACGGTTTAATCTTATCTTTGATGAAGACCAGACTTCTTCAATTCAAAGTTGAAATCCCGCGTCTTCTCCTCCTATAAAAGCAGGTCTATTTGGTTCTCATTTCACAGTTCAAGAGAGAACTTCCTTTCTTACAAAGTTCTACGCAAAAGTCTCTTTATTTATTTTAGGTATTTCCAGTTATCAATAATAACTTGTAACGTCACAATGGAGTCTTCTCGTGGATTACTTATGCTAGGATTATTTGCTATGATTTGTTCAATTACCTTCGCATCTGAGCCTAGTCCTCTTCAAGATTTCTGTGTCGCAGATTCTAATGGTCCAGGTACGTTACAATAACAAAGTCGTCCTTAAATATTTACAACTTGCAATAATCAAGAATGTGATCAATATGAATTTTAATAGTACTGTTAACGAAATTCAAAAGTTCTTTATGCTATATATTGCGGGAAAATTACATATGTACGATTCGTGAAACAAATTTCATTATCTAGTTTTTCTTCTTACCGCAACACGAGTAACTATAAATTATGCAGGTTTCATTTTTTAAAATCTTTCTAAGTTTCGTGTGAATTATAGGAATATTTTTGAATACCATTTTTGTGATGAAGATATTCATGTTTAATTTAGACATAAAACTGATACGAGTTAATTAATAACTGGACTTTATTAGCAGTTTGTCTGATTTAGAGGAATTTTAAAAAACCACTTTGACAGAGTTGGTAATTAAATTTATTACTCTAATGGGAAATAATTAAAACTTAATTCATAAGTTAAATTTTAGCATGAATGAATATACACTAGACATCAAAATGGTAACCTAAATTGACACTTTTATTTACTTTGCTTCATTGGGACAGTACTAGTGAACGGGCTCAGCTGCAAAGACTCTAAGATGGTTGAGGCCCAAAACTTCTTCTTCAGTGGGCTTCACATAGCAGGAAACACATCAAACGCAGTTGGATCACGTGTTACTGCTGTGAACGTGGCCGAAATTCCAGGCCTAAACACTCTTGGAATCTCCCTTGCCCGAGTTGACTATGCACCGTGGGGCATTAACCCACCACACACGCATCCTCGCGCAACTGAAATATTGACAGTTCTTGAAGGCACTCTCGAAGTGGGTTTTGTCACCTCCAACCCGGAAAACCGTCTCATTAAAAAAGTTGTTTATAAGGGTGATGTGTTTGTGTTCCCAATTGGTCTTGTTCACTTCCAGAGAAACATCGGTTATGGAAATGCCGCTGCCATTGCAGCTTTGAGCAGCCAAAATCCGGGGGTCATTACCGTCGCGAATGCGGTGTTTGGATCTAATCCCGACATCTCTCCCAATATTCTTGCAAAAGCTTTCCAAGTGGATAAGAACGCGGTGTTAAATTTGCAGTCAAAATTTTAGAGGGCTTTGATGTCCATATTTTTAAGTTGTGGCAAAGATGGAAGTGTGGCCAAGATTTATTTCCCTAATGTTTGTTTTGGTTGGTCTAGGTTATTTGTTTGTTTCCATATTGCTTGAGAAAAAGAACATGGTAAACGTTTTAGGTTGCATTCTTTATCCGGTTACAATTTAGTCACTTGTCATTTGTCAGTGTAATTGGTTTGAAATTTCTTAGGATATTAAGAAATGTGAGTGTTGTTTGGATGCATCGTGTAGTTGAGTTTTCTAAATGCTTTGGACACTTTCTTATTATTATCGTTCTGTTGCTCTCGTTGTTGTTGTTATCATTATAATTATTAATTTCTTTTATAATTGTTAGTATATTTTGTGTTGGCTTATTTTTGGTAAATTAGTTGTAAGATTAGTTGGCATTATAAATTGGTGGCCCTCTTAAGTAAAGTCTTGCTGTCATGTTTATTGGCTGCAAATCAAAGGACTTGATTGCTGAAAATCAAGAGTGGAATTTTGGAGAATTGATTGTTGGTGATCTTGAGGCTTGAGGCCGGTGTAATGCAAAAAGAGAATGGCAGAACGTGTTGTGCAGAGAGAGTGCTGAAAACAGAAAAGTTGCTTGCGTTCATGTCAGAATGAGATTGTCATGTTAAGCGTCGTTTGAGGTGTTGGGACGAATTGTTCGAACACTTTTGAGTTGGCTCTTCGGGAGAAGATTTCTTTGGTTTCAGGAGGAAATCGTCAAGTCGAGTGGTGCTTGCTGATCAAGCTTCCTAAGGAGATTCTAGGCAATGGCGACATTGTCAATGAGGGAGTTGTTGAGTGTGTAAGACCGTTCGGTCCTTTGTAATCTTCTGAACTTAGTGGATTGATCACTGTCTGGGTGTGGCCCCGCAGAGTAGGTGTGCGCACCGAACTGCGATATCATTTTTCGGTGTCCTTTATGTTTCTGCATTATTTTCCTGCATTGCTGTTTTGCTGGTTTAGTTTCAAATTTTTTGTTAAAACAGTGTTACAGTAAAGTGTTATAACACTCTCTGTGACACCAACGATAAAAACGGACCTAACAATAATATATACCAATTGAACATAGAGGGATAGAAAAACTTAAAAGCATATATAGGATTCGTCACATGATAGTTAGCCTCACGATATTCCATACCTAAAAACATCATTTGCACTCTATGAACCACAATTCATGAACACAATTATAGTTTTGTTCTTGAGTGTTCACGATGTGTGTGGTTTTTTCAGAATAATACTTGAACAATCACGAAAATTCATGACTCAAGAACTCAACAAAAGAATAGTACAGAGAGAGAAAAAATCTGACAGAAATTTAACGTATTTTGTATCTCTCATTTGTACTAAACTCTTTAATTATTTATAACCACAATTGTCATAAAGAAGCATGCACAAAAACTAGAAAGTATATTTCTTATTACTTACCGATATCAAATCACTAAATTCATTTAATCCTTTAAGATATAGTAGATATTCGATAATATTTTCATAATTATAATTTTATCTCATGGATTTTATTTCACGTAAATCAGAGCATTAACTTTTGATCATGCACTTTTAGGGACGTCGTAATAACAATAAAAAAGGAAAAAACTATCATTAGATGTTCTCTTGGACCTCCAATACACAGTATGGCCGTCCTCCATTCTTTTTATGTATTTGACGCAGCCATATAGGAGGATGTGATCAACTCACAGATTGCCTCTTGTTCGAAATGAATCATAATTTCTAAAAGGAAAAAAAAATTGCTATGCTTGATAAAATATAAGTACTTTCTCGTAGCAAATATAGGCAATCATCGTTGGACAGAATGATTGGTCATTTTGAATCTAGGGCCACGGCGTTGCATTCATTAGTTGTCCACCAAAAGACCTTCAATATTAGCCCCGTTTATTTCGCCGATTCGAGTTTAAAATTTGAATTTTGTTACAGTAAAAAGCTCTCAAAAATAGTCACATCTAACTTTTTTACTACAGTAAAAAGCTCTCACACAAAATCACATCTCAACTCAAATTATAAACTCGAATCAGTGAAGTGAACGGGCCTTTAGTAATAAAAAATGTGGAGCACGACGAATTTTTAATAATTACGTTTCTATTAATAATTATTATTAAATATTATGTAAGTATATATGCTTTTGATTTTTAGTTAATTTACTCTTGTCTTTGCTCAACTTACTTTCATATGCTAAATAAAGCAAGTATAGATTTATATCTTTCCTAATATGTGTTCTTTGATTTAATATTTTGGTTTGTCTTTTTAAATTCTAGCTAGCATTCACACAAGTTTCAGCCAGTTTACTAATGTATTTTCTGATTACTTTCTGGTTACGCTAAAATGACTTTAACAGTAGCGCCAACGCTTCATCATTTCTTCATATTCTCCTTAACTTTTTGCAAAGCTGTTCTCAAATAAAATAATAAATAAGAAATGGGAATTACTAACCTGAGAATTAGAATATTATTAAATTTACATAATGCCATCATTGAGAAGAACAACAAATAAACACAACCAAATCATCACATTAACTACACCACATGCACCTACAAGCACATAGCAAAAAAAAAAAAATTGTCATATACGGTTCATAGATTTGAACATAAATTTAAATTTTATGAGAAAAAATATTATAATAAAAAAATTAATATAATAATTCAAACTTATAAAACAAATGGGGGCATAGTTGCATTTATATTTTTATAACTATGAAACACTTGTAGCAGTAATTCTGAAAATTAGTAACCTAATTGTAATTTGTACGGTTGTAACTATGTAAATAAACAAATATATCCCGCGAGAATTTAGTAAACAAAAAAGTTTCGGGCTTGTTTGTGAGAATTTTAGGGCCCGTTTAGTTCGCTGATTCGAGTTTTTAATTCGAGTTGAGATGTGACTTTATGTGAAAACTTTTTATTGTAGTAAAAAAGTTAGATATGATTGTTTCTAAAGCTTTTTACTGTAACAAAGCTCGAATTATTATTTATTAAAATGTTTTGTTCTGGGTGCCTTACACAATATAGGGTAGTTTCGATCTGACTCGACATTTATATAAGGATGGATCTTGGTTACCCGTGGGTCCAACCCCATACTTGTATTGGCTTACATATTCTTTTTTTTTTTTAATGAAAAAAATAATAAGAAATAAAAAATATAAAAATACTAATATTGACGTGAATGATGCCAACACACGAGTAGACTCAACTCTAAACAAAGATATCAAATCTACCATTAATTCTGAATGAACACAAAAAGGAGAGAGATTTACGTAACAAGTTCCAATAACGAAAACCCAATAGGTGCACCATATATTGAGCACACGTATGGATTGTTAGACATACAACCTATTGATACTTCCAAGCTACTGAGATGAAAAGCCCTATAGCACTAAAGCCAATGACATTATTATATAAGTTCACTACTTTAGCTAGGGATTGTAAACTTTAAAAAGTGAACTGGAAATAATTACATTAAAATTAAGTAAAAGTAGTATAAAAACACTTTAAAAGAGATGGTTGAAATATTGTGCTGGTTTGGAACCGTTTTTTAAAACGGTTTTCACATATTTCGAGAAGTAAAAATGAAAATAAAAACGAAAGGACGATTGTTTAGCAAATGTTTTAAAAACGAAAATAGTGAGAATAATTTTTGTGAAGGAATTAGAAAACAGTTGAAAGTTGTTTTCACTTTTCTGTTTTCATTTTTTAGTGCTTATCAACAATATTATAATATATTAATTAATAAACACGATTTTACTTTTTTATTATACTCAAAACAATCTTTTAAAAAACCAACCAAACTTAATTTCATAATTAGTTGCAGAATAATTCTCAAAACAATCTCACTTTTACTTTTTATTGAAAACAAAATCATTTTAAAACCAATTCCAAACGCACTCATTAAGTTCTAGTTCAAAATTTTGGTTTAATTCACGTCCACTAGAAAATTCCTAATCCTCTATCCTATTAATTAAACTAGTATCCTATTAACTTATTACATTTAAACTAAATGCATTAGAACTTTTGTTTGTTTGTTTTTTTTAATTTCAGCAATAGATCAAAACTTCTCCAAGTCGGCGTGGAGAAAAACCATAAGTAGTGTGTTCCCCTATATCTTAACATGTTGGTCATGGACAAAGATATTAGCATTGGCCACTTTGAAGACCCAAAACCACTATGCACGTTTCCATGAGCAAAAACGTGTTCATTATATTGTTGTCCAAGCACGCGGTCAAGGGAATTGCTGTCTGCGAGAGACCATGAAAGTGGGGTTGGTTTGAAGAACCCTACTTTTTTATTCTATTAACGCCATAGTAATTGCTCTATACATATATAGCTTCTCCAATTTGTCGCTTTGTCTTTGTATTATAATTATACACACATATATATATATATAAACAAGCTATAAATTTTGATCTTCCACACCTTTGGAGCAACCTCTTTGAGTTGTTGAAAAACTTATAGAAATGGGAACTCCATATTACGACGTCGTTTTTGTGCTTGTGGCTATATCTTTATCAGTCCTAGGTTTAGCTTCTGACCAAAATCCACTGCAAGATTTCTGCGTTGCAGACCCAACAGTTCAAGGTATATTCTCTATCCTTTCTGATGTTTAGCTTCCTCTTTATACGTTTTCTCTTTCTCCTATACATAGTAAAACTTATGCACAAAGCTTGCATCCGGAGTTTAATAGGATACACTTACAAAAGCTTCCTTTAAATTAATCGTGACATGAAATGACCAACCTTACCTTATCAAGAATTATAAAAGCAACAGTGTTATGCCAAAAAAAAAAAGAAAAAGAAAAATCTGTTTTACATGCTGATGTTAAATGCAGTCAAAATTGGGATTAGGGATGGCTTTGTGGAAATAGATTATAATTGGTAAAAGATAAATTTTTTTTCTTTTTCCTAATTTTATAAGATTAAGTAGCCAACTAAAAAAATGACAAATAAGAAGAAATATAGAAGGATCGATTGTCTGAAAGGATAATTTTATTACTATAAAAAGGAGGTTCTTTTATATTTATTAAAAATTTTAGCTCCATTAGTGGAACAAAGACACTATATATGTGTACTAAATAATTGACCAGGACATATGTACCATTGGAACAAAGACTAAGATAAAAATTCAAGTCACACGAAAAATTGAAACCAAAATATTGCTTAAACCATATTGACTTGTGAATTGGATTGGCAGTGCTAATGAATGGTCTACCTTGTAAGGATCCAAAGGCAGTTCAAGCCGACGATTTTTCCTTCAGCGGTTTTAATCAATCAGGGAACACATCCAACCCGCTTGGGTCAGCCATAACCCCAGTGGCTGTATCCGAAATTCCTGGACTAAACACTCTTGGGATTTCACTCGTTCGCGTTGACTACGGCCGAGGAGGAGTCAACCCTCCCCACACTCATCCCCGGGCATCGGAGATCTTGACGGTCCTTGATGGAAGCCTTGAAGTCGGGTTTGTCACATCAAGCCCCGAGAACCGTCGGATCACAAAAGTTTTGCACAAGGGCGATGTGTTTGTGTTTCCCATTGGTCTAGTCCATTACCAGAAGAATGTGGGACCTGGCAATGCCGTGGCCATTGCAGCTCTTAGTAGCCAAAATCCTGGTGTTGTTATTATTGCTGGAGCTGTGTTTGGATCTGTTCCGGAAATGGATGATGATGTTTTGGTGAGATCTTTCCAACTTGACAAGGGTGTTGTTGGTTACCTTAAGTCCAAGTTTTAGAGAATGCAGAGCATGATAATATTGTTAGCAAACAAAAGAAGTGAAAAGGGTTACAATGATTGCTGAAATACTAGCTTTTGGTTTAATCATTTATGTACTAGTATAGTATGTATGTGATTAGATTAAAAGTGAATAATTATTATAATTGGCTTAGAGGTGAAATATTGTAATTGTGTCTACAGGAAATTTTCATTATTTTCTTTTTTTTGTCTTTCATATAGAAGATTGTTATTGTAACACAATTGGTGATTGCTCTAAATATTATATATATAGCTCTGTCAAGGCTTCCTCATGGTACAGGATTTAATTTGTATTTTCCAATTATGCATAGTTGTAGTTTTCCATTTGGACTAGATTGCCTCCTTTGAATGAATGAACAAAAAACTATTAAATTATCTCAGTTATGGTAAAAGTTAATTAGCCAATTAGGTTAATATCATCATGATCAAGTTCTTGGAGATAATAGATCATGAAAGGAACAACATTTTTCTATTAAAAAGAAGAAAAAAAATGCGTATTGAACCAATATAAGTGGCAAAAAGAGGTATTTTGAAGAAGAATTCACGACATATATGAAGAACACATACTAGAAAGATATTAAACAATCATAATATGCCTGTTTGCATGAGCAAACTGTAATAGAACTGTAACCTCACGCGGTCTTTGACATCCTATAGATATAAAAAACATGACCATTTTAGATATCTTATGATGCCATTTTTGCTCCTCTAAGCCTCCCAAATTTTTAAAACTTGTGCCTATAAAAGGTATAAGATGCGCATGTTCTCTTTTCTAACCTTCTATAGTAATTTCCATTGTTTCCTTTGATCTACTTCAGAAAATGATCATAACCTTCATTACCCCAAATGGCCCCCACTATATTAATGTTCTTGTTGGGGATTAAAGTACTAGTACTCTTGTCTGTTGCCTTTCAAGGTACAAAGAAGCTTTTGTCTCAAGCAAAATTCTGTACTTATCTTATACAGCATCATTTCTATCACTTTCATTGGTGTTTTACTTGGAATGTCAATTGTACACTTTAGGTCTTCGTAAAAGTTTAGATATCAATGCAATCACAGGGGTTGTCAATTATTTGAGCATGCTATTTCCATGTGTGGGACTGCTGGTAGGATTAATTTTGTAGAACCTAAATCAGTTCCAACAGTTTCATTAATCACATAAGAGTGCCGGAGAAACGATATACAGCAATGATATATACGTAGTCATATATCATATATGTGCCCTGCCTAATGCATACCACAACATAGAGTTATAGACAATTTGATATTCACACATTTTTGGACTCATTGAAAAGTGTGATATATATATATATATATATATATATATATATTTTTAGGGGTACATATACAGTAAGGCCTTATACCGGTAGTAGTGTACATTTCTGACCGTTGAATCTGATTAAAATTATATCACAATGAAAAAGAATATGTAAAACAATTAATTTTTGATACACATCCGACGACGGTAAGACAAAGATCTATCATAATTCATTTTTCCATTTCCTACCCAGGTACTCCTTTTTTTTTTCCTTTAAGAATTAAAAGACAACAATATATAGTACAGCTCGTTTTATATCATTTAACAATCTTAAAGAATAAAAAACTCTCAAAATATAATTGAAGTATTTGTTTGGTTGGAATATTTGTTTGAATATTTTTAGCTTTTTTATTTAACTATTTCGCTAATTAATCAACGATAATATTGGATGCTAAAATCATGAAGATTTCCCCCTAAAAAAATTTTAAAAAAAAAATAATGAAGATTTCTCATTATGTCCTTATTTCATTTGATCTAATAACACTTACTCTCTTACCACGGCACAACATTAACGCAGCTCTAGTGGGACGGTTTGGCATACAAGGATCCAAGTCTAGTCGAGCCAGAAGACTTCTTCTAGATCACAAACCCTCTTGGATCAAAAATAAAACCCGTAACATCATCTCAGATTCCGGATCTCAACTCTCTCGGCATCTCACTTGCTCGAATCGACTACGCGCCATGCGGGATCAACCACCCTCACACGCATCGGAGATACTTACGGTTTTGGAAGGAACCCTGGAGGTCGGATTTGTGACGGCCAACCCGGAAAACCGGCAGATTACCAAAATTCTACAGAAGGGTGACGCGTTTGTTTTCACGGCCGGGCTCATCCATTACCAAAGAAATGTTGGCTCTCCCAACGCCGCTGCCATTGCGGCCTTCAGTAGCCGAAATCCGGGAGTTATTAGCATTGCAAAAGCAGTGTTTGGGTCTGCGCCGGATATTTCTAGCGACATTCTTGTCAAGTCATTTCAAGTGGACAACGGCGTTATAAATTTCTTGCGATCCAAATTCTAGCGCTAGACCAAGCCTGCAAATTTCTATAAATCAGAATTCGGTTACGTGGACAAAAAGAATATAAAAGAAAAAGAAAACTCTCGACGGAGTAGAGAATGCTTCTGCACCGTTTGAGTTTATTTAAGTCTGTTATGTTTGCATAATGTTTAATTTTTGACATGTTTCTGTCATAATAATGGCACGTAAAAGCGAATGACAAGAGTACCGTGTTTTGCAGAAATTGAGAAGATATGCTAAAAGGTTATGTGGTTCGAAAAGTAGCGTACTGATAATTTCTAATTTCCCAAAAACACCTATTCTCTAATTTGTCCGTGTTGAAGTAGTTTTTTTTTTCCTTCTTCATGAGTCCCTACGTACTTAAATAATCTTTTTTTTTTCTTATGACATTCTCAGCTACATTTTCTCATACGTATTATGTTATGTTTTAAATGATTTTTTTTTATCTACCTTACCTCTCAAAATATGTTCCCATCACCGGAGTCAATGTGGTTGACAAGATTTGTATCTCCTGTGATCACGTGAGAGAGAGAGATAGAGAGAGATCGAGAGGAGAGAAAGAGAGACGTGGGGAGGAGAGGAAGAGAGATTGGGAGGACATAGATTGCTATTTTCTTCATTTTTTTGTTGACATGCTATTTTCTGCAAACTTTTTTTTAAATTCGGATTTGGAGAAACTGCAAAAGGGGCAATTTAACTCAGAATTCCTATGGTTATAACCAAAGGAATTAATTTGGTTAAATCCTCATTATTCCAGAATGTATTCAGATTAATGGCATGTTTGTGTAACACCCTTTTCCCGCAGCCTATATAAAGAGGCTCTCTTCAACCATTTCAGTGCAGCAAATTTTCGGAGCTTTGCTTTTCTTTCTAGTCTGTTCTTTGTTCTTAGAGTTGTTAGGTCTTCCAGTAATAGAGTGAAGGCACAGTTAGAGTTCGTTGGAGTAGTTCTTTTGTGTTTAAGTACTGCTCGTCGCTTGTAGATCATGAATGTCCTAGGCTTATTGCTTACGTCGCTTGTCATTTGCTCACACCACAGGATCACCTCTACGATTCTCAGCGATCTGGAGGCAAAGAAATCAACATCGAGCTAGAAAATTGTTTGAATAAATGTATAGAAAAATGTAGCAATGTTTGATGTATTGCCATGAAAATGTAATCTAGGAGTGTTTGATACATTATATATAGTAAATTACTTGTGAAAATTTCCGTTCATTTATAAAATATACTATGCAATATAAGTCCCGTCGGGCATGATTTGTGCTTCAAGTGTGAAGATAAGATGGTTTAAGTTGTAGATTAGTTGTGATCTCTTCAGTCCCAAATTCAAGAAAAGAAAATTGTGAAAATTATGATGGTGGTTTGTGAAAAAAATAAATAATTTTAATTTGTTAATCTCATTTGGTGGGGTAGTCGTTGTAGTAAACTAACCTTCTAGTATGTTATCTAACAAATGTACGTGAACTAGGAAATTCTGCTAGTAGTTCATGTCTCTAATCTTTTAGAACATTCCAGAGCATTCGCATAGCTTATAGAGATCACTGTAGAGGATTTTAGAGATTCCAAAAGACTTAAAATGAACTAGATCAGATCTTGATGCTTCTAAAATCTTTAGGACTCAATAGAATGTTCTAGATAGTAGAACTTCCTGGAATGTTCTTGACTTTAAGAACTTTTTTTTTTTGCGGAACTTTAACTAAGAACATTGTGGAGCCTTTCTAAAAAGATTAAGCCTAAAAGAATAGAGTGAAAAATATAGAAACACCACTTGAAGATGTCATCTCTATATTCATGACACTCAAATCACAAATGTATAAATTTTACATTTACACCACTCAAATCACCGGATCATGGGTGAGTTTCGAATTGGAGTGCTTTTAAGAGAATTATTATTTTTACTTTAAATAAAAGTTAGAAGCAAAAACAAAATTTTAAAGCTGCAAATTTCAAATTCTTCAAGTAACTTAAAAAGTGTATTGATGTTTGTGCAAGTGTTTTTCAATCTTTTAACTAGACACCATAGTTACATAGATTTGCACAAAATACTAGAGTTACATAAATTTTTGTGCAAAATACTTTTAAGAATTGTAAAAGCAATCCAAAACCTAATAGTCCTTGTAAGGATATTAAACCAGTAGACTGACAAATTGTAGATAACAGAGAATGATCTTTGTTGGAAATCTCTTGTAACAATCTCAGACATGAAAGCGGATCGGTGGCTACAAAACAAGTTGCCACTTGTAATCAACTCTCAAGCGGTGCATGGTGCAGAGCAGGTATTTTTTTTTCTGATCATATGTCACGTGTCTTTTGCATGATCTTACACCGTGTTCGTGGAATATATAACACAACCGCTTTTGTTTTCTGCTCCTTTTTGTTTAATGCTTTTTATCTTCTATATACATGTTATTTGGTGTCATTGTTTCCTTATTTGACTAATTTGAATAGAAGTTAACAGATTAAATCACTGAAGTGGAGGTATGTTATTACTCTTTCGAGTGCTATAATCAACCCAATGATAATTGGAAAAGAGAAGAAAAAGAAAAGAAGCCTCTATCGGTAATAGGTGGTTAGTTTCATTTGTGCGTAATAACTTTGAATTTGGGAAACTATAATGTCATTTACATTGTAATATATAGTAAATTTTATATTTAGTCGTCTGAAGTTTGATGTTGCTACTGCAGAGTACCACAAGACATTCTTCTGAAGAGATATCGAAGGAGCTAAAGGTATATATATAATCTCTCTTTCATCATTCTTGATTACATGGTTGGAAATGATATTCCTTGTTTGTGTCGATTTAGCGACGTGGTATATATTGAGCATATGTATATGTATGATGGTCGATCAAATAAATCTGGGATTCTTCTTTAGTAGAATCAGAAGAGATAAAATACCAATAATTTTCTAGTTTCAGTCATTAGATTCGGCATTTTTTTTAATCAAATTTAATTTTAATCAGATTTAACAGTTATTTATAAGACTCTCCTATCAGAGAAATTCTGTAATACTTGTGGTGCTATATAATGTGGCTCTTCTTTTTTCGCTAGAAACTCAGATCCGATCTAATGTAAGACTCGGAGAAACTCCCAATAAATCGTAATACTTGTGGTGCTATATAATGTGGCTTTTCTTTTTTCTGTGGAAACTCTTACTACTTTTCACTAGTACGAAAACTACTTTGAGTCATAGTCGAGACACTAAAATTGGTTGATTATTCTGTATACTTTAGGAATCTGCAGAGGAGTTTAGGAATGTAGTCCAATCAAATCATTGCTTAATTAGATCATTTTAGCAAGACTAGTCCATTATTTGACAGTAAAAATAAAATTCAAGTTCAATAACTATAGTTGAGTGTTACACGCATTAATTTTGTATTTCTAAGAGCAATAAAATCGTTGAAGAAAATCAAACAACAATATATAAAATTTATAGGCAGTTCATAAAATCAAACAACTCTATATTACTATGTCAGGGCTAATTATTTTCGGCCGCCGCAAATAATTTCTGGTGAAAATCATGTACCTCTTAATTCTCCTTATTTTTCTCTAACTTCTATCATTTTTCTTAAAATCGGCGCTCCACTTTATATATATAAGAGAAACTAGGGTTTATGGCTATAATTAGACTCCACAACTTTAATAGTTATGATTGAAAGAAACCAATGAAACCAATAAATCCTCCCTTCAATGTGGACGTTGCAAAACTGATCTCCATAATGAGGATTTAACACCTATGGGGTTGTTTTCCAGTTTCCCATAATGAGGATTTACCAACCCCTGTTACTAATTTCTTTAATTAAATACCTATAGTGTGATATTTTAAAGCTCTTCCTTTGTAACAACTTTGACATTTCCTCACTATTTAAGATATATGTTGTGTAGATGAACAAACTGAGCAAACAGAGATCTGGATATGATGTCCACTCCGATGAAATAAAGGTATATAAGAAAGGTGTAAATTACTCTCCATAAGTTGAACATGTATAAGCTTTGAGTTAAACATTCAATTTTTATATATTTTTTCATTGTATATATAAAATCTCCAACTGTCACTTGCAATACCCTGCAGAAACAAAACACAAAAACATCACTCTTCTTATTTACATGAGAGTACACTATGTTTGATGAAATGTTTCAATACAGATATTCTAATTGTTAATTCTTTGCACGTGTAAGTTATTATTATTTAGAACTAAGATAAAATAATCATGTCCTTATTCTATGTATAGTAGTACACGAGACTTTCTATTAGATTTTTGAGGACTGAAGTCTGCAGTCTCATGTTTTTTTTTGGGGAGAAACAAGGGCGGCCCCCATGGAGATCACAGGATGAAGAGGATGATGATAAGGAACTTGAAAATCTGGTTTCCAAGAGGGAAAAATGGGCCATGGAATGGAAGATTACATAGCGGCGGAAAACAGGAAAATCGACGGCTATGAGTTGGGGTTGTATGCAATTTTCGACGGCCACTCTGGCCGTGACGTTGCAGAATACTTGCAAGGTCGTCTGTTTGACAACATTCTAAGTGAGGTATAAAAGACATTGGTGTTTTGGTTGGTCTGTTTGTTTATTCATTCTTTTCAAATTTTTAAGCTATGAAGACTTGGAGCTAGTTCTAAAACTTTGGTAAAAAAACAGCCGGACTTCTGGACAAGCCCAAAGAAGGCAGTGAGGAAAGCGTATGAAGCTACGGACGATGAGATATTGAAAAAGGTGGTTGGTTCGCGAGGAGGTTCCACTGCAGTAACCGCAATACTAATTGATCAAAGAGAGCTAATCGTAGCAAACGCCGGCGATTCTCGAGCAGTCTTGTGCAGGAATGGCAAGGCAAAGCAGATCAGCGTGGATCATGAACCAACAAAGGAAAAAGAACTCGTTGAGAGCAAAGGCGGATTTGTGACTGAAATGCCCGGTGAGTTCATCAGTCCATTTCAAATCTATTATTTTGTAAGAATTTTCTCAGCAGTAGGCTTAATTTCTTAAATTTTTGTTGGCATATATTGAACATGTTTAGGAAGCGTTCCACGCGTGGATGGGCAGCTAGCGATGACAAGGGCATTTGGCGATGCAAAACTGAAGGAGCATATTACATCTGAACCGGATATTAAGGTCGAAAATATCGACGATGATACCGAATTCATCATTTTGGCTAGTGACGGCTTTTGGAAAGTAAGAATCAATTGCAGTATCAAGTCCTTGTCAAAACTCCTCGGTTGCATTGATATTAACTTTAATCCTTGTAGAACTAAAAAGAAAATTAAAATGCATTCCAAACTATAGTTGTTACGTAACACTCGGAACCGAATACATAAACGTCAGTATAAAATGTCACGACTAAAGATTTTTAAATATTATAGAACTCTATTTTTTATTGAGTTAATTTGGTGAAGAATTGCCAAGAAATTAAAAGACAGAAAAGTGCAAATGATGTCTCTTTGTGTGCAGGTGATGTCAAACCAGGAGGCCTACAATTCAATTGAAGACATGGAAGACGCTCAAGAAGCAGCTGAGACGTTAATTAGGGAAGCGCTCTCCAGAAAAAGCTACGGTGACATATCCTGCATAGTTGTTATGTTCCACTGATCTCCAGCTTTTTTGCCTAATCTATAGATCTGTCGCACGTAATGTAAAGTTTAAACTTAATTTTAAGATCTTTCACGTTTGGGCTGATCTAGCAATCGAATGATAGTTACCTGAGTCTCTTGTCTTGTTTCTTTTTTCTTTTTTCTTTTTTTGGTATTTCCTTTTTTTTTTTAATGTTGGTGTCAAAATATGATACGACCCTCGGAATGGATTCCGGTGGCCGGATCGGATAATCGCTCTTCGAGTGAGCATAAACTCCAAGAAATGAGAAATAGAGGAAGGGCTAGTGAGAATAGAGAAGGAAAGGAAAAACTAATTCATTTCATTCATATCTCCCTTTTGCCAAGGATAGCTTATATATTTATAGGCGCAAAAAACTAACTAACTATTTCTTTTATCACCACTAATTAACAAATTCTAAAAATAAACTAATGTTTAGGGGTGTATCATTATAATAGCGCAGTATTCATTTTATGCAATACTAAATTTTAATGTTAATGTTATTTTTTCGAAATGTAAATTGTATTTTAAAGTACAGAAATACAAGCTCTAATGTTGACTTAAATGACCTTGCAATAGGAGCATAATTTAACCTCAACTATTGATCTGTTCCACCACTTAATTAAATAGAAGGACGTCTTAAATCTCAGCTATTAACAAGATGTTTTTTTAATATTATTAAAATACAAGATACTAGGTGCATAAATATCAGCTTCAAGTATTAATAAGATTTTTTTTTTAATATTGTTAAAAAAAAATATAAAGTATTAAAAGCAGGTTTCGCTATAGGTATTAAAATTACTCTTTTTTCTTTGTCTACTTTCACCTTTGACGACTTGAAGAGAGAGGTAGCGAGTTGAAAGAACAGGGAGAGAGTGGGAGAACGAGGAAATTGAAACTGTGAAAGTGTGAAACGCGGGAGAGGGTGTATAAATTGCAACTTTAAGAAAAAGGGACACATGTTTATTCAACCAGATTTTGAATGTTTGAATTAGAAAATACAACTTTTCACATTTAGGAACATTTTGACTAACACGGAAGAGAGACAAAAAATACAAGCTTTCAATGCCAGTTAACAGTTAACTGGTGTTAAAACGTTAACCGACATGAAAATGCTTTCACGTCGGTCAATCGATTTAGAAATACTTTCACGTCAGTTAAACGCGTCGACTGTTAAAAAATAAATTTTATTTAGTAATATTTATATTAAATTTTATAGTTGATTCTTATTGGCTATTGTGTTTATTTTTATCTTCAATCTAATAGTTAGTATCATGAAGAAAGTATTTTTTTTAAAGAATTTTATATTATCAGATATGATCAATCATGTCTTAACACAAACAAATTTGATGAACTCGCCAGCTATGCCACTACATGCAACACGGACTTTGAAACATACACACGTTGTGCCTTGATCTATAATATATCTTTAGGTTTACCCACACAATTTTGAAACACATTTTTGTTTTAGATGGAATCGCACAACCATAAAAAATAAAATATTTAACAACTAATATCTAAATACCATTATAATTAAAATAAAAAAAATTAGGGTTGAAAAACGAAAGGGTCTGTTTGGTGGTGTGGTAATTGGGTGTTGGTGGAAATCTGTTATTTTGTTGATCTGTTTCTATTTCATGTAATATGAGCATTTAAAAAGAATTTCTAAGAAGGTAAAGAATTTGAAGGAATTTGCAATCTAAACAGATATGTAAGGAATGAATCACAACTGTTGAAAAGAATATTGTTATTGGTGGAAGCAATCCGTACTTGTATCTGATCGCATGTATTAAACGACGTTGCTTGATGAATTTGTACAAGTTTCCCTTTAAAAAATAAAAAGGAAAAAAAATCAACCTATCTATTGGTACCTAATTTTTGCATAAAAACAGTCTTATTCCACTAGGGCGAAAGGATGTTTCTCTGGCTGGAAAATATTGATTAATTTGTCTTTCTGGAAGGAAGAATATACACATTCTCCCTATCTTTTATTTTTTGCTTTCAATATTCTTTACATGAATTCCCTCCTGTTTTTGGAGGAGAATCTCATTAAAAAAAAAAAAAAGTATATAATCTGTAAATTCTCAAGAGTTAAATGTTCATTTTCTAAAATAAAACAAGAAAAAAAAATATTAAGGTTATTAAATATAATTGTTAGCAAAAGGCCGCTATTATATATATAAACCCCTGGATCCTCAAATCCACTTGTGATATACGTAAGCTAGATTAATATTGATAAAACAACGGTGAAGAATTTTAAACCAAATTGTTGCTGATAATTATCATGATCATCATCTGCATTAATATCCTGCAAATAGTTGTTGTACAAGCTCTTGAATTCTTTGCAAATGCACCACCAGTTCTTGCAATTAAACCCCAATATCCTAATTTGTTCATTTCTTCTCCTAATTCCCATGACAAATCTATGGAATTTCCACGTCCTAGGTGGTATAAAATAGATCACCATTGTGTCATTGCCCTTGCTCTTGCTCATTGTCATTTGGCAGAACTCAGTTATACAGCACAAAACCGGCAGCTCCCATTCTTTGCCAAAGAAGCTGAATTTGCCCTTGATAGATGTCTAAAGCAGTGCCTTAAAAAGTGTATTGTAGCCAAATAATATTATTATAATGTTCTCTCAGCTCATTATTTTATCAAGGTTGCTACTCAAGGTTATTTTGCCAAATATTCTTGTTGTTATTGTTGTAATTGATCTATTAATATCTTACTATTTGCGGATCAACAGTACCGGCTATCTTGTCATAATGAGCAGGCTGTGTTGAGATAATAATAATAATAATAATATTATTATTATTATTATTGTTATTATTATTATTATTATTATTATTATTAGAGGAGAATTACCAATAAGTTTCCATTCTTACAGTCGCATGAAAAGGAGTAGAGAGATGAATTATGGTAACCAAAGTGAGAATAGCTGCTAATAAAACCACTAGCCTCATGATAATATATCTTTATTAATTTCATGATCAGTGAGTAACAACTCTTTCTTCTTCACGAAAACGGGACAAATTAAAATTATATAAATTAATCAAGAGAAGTACTACCTGCAACAAGTGTTTATCCAATGGTCGTTTTGGGTGTTGGCTTGTGGCTATGAAATTGAGATCCAACGTTGAGACAGATTAGACGTAAGGCTAAGTGGAAACCAGACCCACCCGTATTTTGGATTTTGTCGGTTTTTTGGTTGATGTCGTTTTTAAGGTCATTGTTGTTTTCATATTGATATGTCAGCCTTCGGCCATTTTTGTTTCTATCATTCTATGTGTTCTATAAAATACTGTCGATTTTGATGTTGTAGCCGTTGTAGTTCTTATTAATTCATAGTTGTTATCGTGTCTTGAACATATGATCTTTGTGTGTGGGACCAAGTTATTTATTAGAGATCATGAAAAACAAATCGATCGTCAAATCCATAGGGGCATTAAAGGGCAAAAGTCTTTAATCAAATCAAGAGAGTCAGATTCTCAAGATCCGCTGTGACATGATTTTTGCCCCACTATCCGCGTACCAGCTTGGATCCATCACAGTTTCTGGTGTAGCAAAGTATGCTTTAGCTTTGTTCAAGTTGTGTAAACTAGCTTGAACTCCTTGATAATTCTCATCCATTCGATGCCAGCAAGAAACAGCTATATGGCCTTGTTTGCCAAAGGTCTGACATATTGGCTTAGAATTGCCTGAAGAATAACTACGGCCTCCATTACAGTAATTACGACCTCGTCCTTGACCTCTAACTTGAGATCCAGAAGCTTGACCACCGCGATCAGCTTAGCAATAAGAGAAGGCTGATTACCAGTGATTAGAATATCACCCACACAAACAAGTAGCAACAATAAAACTGAAGAATCCTTGTACACAAAGAGAGAAGTGTCAAACTTAGCATTAGTGAAACCCCAGTGAAGCAAAGCGGACTTAAGGTGATCAAACCAGGCACGAGGAGCCTGCTTAAGACCATACAAAACTTTACGTAATCGGCACAACATGAGTAAGTAAGATGAGTAGAGCTGACAAACCCCTCGGGTTGGTGCATGAACATTGAACACAGTCTCTCGAAGTGTACCATTAAGGAACGCATTATTAACATCAAGTTGCTTGATATCCCAATTAAAATGCACAGCCAAAGTAAGGACCACACGAACAGTAGCAGATTTAATAACAGGACTATAAGTTTCTTAAAAATCAACTCCCTGGGTCTACAAAAAAACCTTTTGCCACAAGACGTGCTTTGTAGCATTAAATGGTACCATCAGGATTCAACTTCAATTTAAAGACCCATTTATTTCCCACAGCATTCATAGAATCAGAGTAAGGAACTAAATCCCACGTGTTATTATTCTTTATGAGAGCATGATATTTGTTAGACATGTGTTTAGGATTGCTGCCACGTTGCTGAGGTTGTTAGATGTGTTGCCACGTTGCTGGAGTTTTTTATTTATTTAATTTGAATGGTTCAAACAAGTCGTACCTAGTTTTTAGAAAGTTGTTGATTTTCAGTTATGTATGTTTGTAATCATGGCACAAGTTAAGGACCATGATTTTAGTGGGTTGTTGTTGATCAAGTTATAAATTGTAATGTTTCTGACGTTAATTAATTCAATTCAGTCTTTTACTTCAAAATACGTTGCTCTAAATTTCCATTTGATTTCACAGCAGTAATATTTTTAAAACACAAGAAAGCTTTGTTTTTTCTTTTCTTTTTCTAAAATAACTACAATATTCATCCTCCATAACAGCTTTCCAATTAGCATCAGCAAGTGCGATCTTCACACTAGTAGGCTCAATAGGATCGGACTCTACAGACATTGGATTTTTGATAGAAGAATATACTTTTGGTTTAAAAATACCTTTTTGAGACTAAGGCCCGTTCACTTTGCTGATTCGAGTTTATAATTCGAGTTGAGATGTGATTTTGTGTGAGAGTTTTTTACTGTAGTAAAAAATTTAGATGTGACTGTTTCTGAGAGCTTTTTACTGTAGCA